ATTCATGTTCTGAGTGATGTTGGTTTGCATTGTAGTATTATAGAATATATTTTGAGCAGTGGACTTCCTTTCATAACACAGTTCACACATGGAGAAAGAACAAAAACCAGCAGGTTGAGAGCTGTTTGGGGCATTGATCTGTAATGTTACATCAAATCTAAGCTTTAACTGCCCCTCTTCTCATCTGGTTATATTTTATATATATATATATACACACACACACACACACACACACACACACACACACACACACACAGGTGTGTGATAAACTGGTCAGTGGTCAGTACCCAGATCTGCAGAGCAGATTTCCAGGTGTTCTTTCTGATGTGTTGCCCATAAGCAATAAGATCCTAGGTAATAACATTTATTCCGGGGCCGCACTGGCCCTTGTCTCAGAGGATAGGGTGGGGGTAGAACAGCTCTTGCTAAGACCTCTTGCCTTTGCCGGAGAGGTTGCTGTACTTGAATTTTTCCTTCTGTTTGTCTGCACACTCCTTCCTGTCATAGAACTCTATCAATGGATGAGAAATCTGCCAACACCAGACACATCAAGATTGGGCGTATAGATTGAAACATTTGCAATTTTTTGTGAATGTATAGGGTTCCCAGAGTCTAGTTGAGGCAAAGCTCATTTGGCTGTAGAGTAAATAAATGTAAGACTTGTTACAATGGAAATTTAAGTGGCCAATTAAATGTCCTTTGGCTATATTTGACCTACCTTTAAAAGCTAGCCCATTTCCTATAAGCCTCTCGTATTCCTGGGCTTGAAATGTCTAAAGCTACCTTGGTGTCTGGGATTAAACCATGTAGGTCAGTATAGAGGGCAGTCACTCCTCCATCTCTCCCAGCGTGTCCAGTTCAGCAGATTTCTAAAGCTGTTAAGCAGCCTCTCTTTTTGACCGTCCTAAACTTTGTGAAAAAAATACCCCACACCCAGATAACCATGAATAGAAGTAATGTAGTTTTTTAGGCTTTTGGAATATGTCTTCTCTTTTGTATTTAAGATGGTGTTTGGAACTTTTCACTAGTGTTTTTTTTAGATTGAAGTGGGTGCATTAGGATAAAACTTTCCGTTGCTGAGCCTGAAGGCAAGCAAGAGGAAAGAAATTGACCTGTATTGTATCATTGGGGAGGTGACTACTTCTTGTGGTGGTAGGGGGTGGGGGGAATGGGGCATTGTAAATTATGTGGGGGTACAATAGAATTCTGGCCTGAGGCTCCCCAAGTCTTATTACCTTGTATGAAAAATCCCCTTATTAGCCTCACTTAATCTCAATAGAAGCCTGCTGTTTACCCTCAGGGAACAAGTAGTTTTCAAAATTGAGCTCCTCCAAGGTCATTGGCTGATGCCTGTGTCCAAGCATTGGTCATCTTTGTAAACTCATGGCATTATTTCCCCATATGCATTATGATACTAAGAAATTCAACCCCAACCTGTATGAAAAGCACAGCCCAGGGCCCTAACTGAGGCTAGCATGAATGCCTTTGAGGGGCCAGGGAGCCGTAGGAGGCCCATGCAATTTAACTGAAGCTCAGGTGCCACGTTGGATTTTTATTCTTACTCGGCCGAAACCCTTTTGAATGCGTTTAGGGCAGGGCTGCTGATCCGGCTGTGGATTCAGGGAGCTCTAAAATGAATCTCTACCGTTCCTTTAAAGGTCTTTCTGGTTTCTCCCAGTGTTGTCATTGCCGAGGTCGATCTCGTAGTTGTTCAGTTGTGCTCCTTTTTGCTGTCTTGTGAGTCTTAGCCAGTGATCCAGCTGCCCAAGGACAGAGCCTCCAGAGGGCCTAGCGTCCTCCTGGTACCAAGCGTGTGCTCCTGGCCTGTGTGACAGTGTCGGTTCCAGAAGCAGTGAAATGAGAAATTCTGCAAGTGGCAACCCGGAAGATCAGTCTGTATCTCTTGGGCCTGGATTTCTACTATGTTAGTGAGTGTAGGAATATACTGTGTCTTTAATGGATGAAAATTCAATGTATGCTGTGAATTTGTTGGTTTGAAACATTGAAATTTTTCATTAGACAATGTTTACATACCTCACCTGAAGAACCTTTGAGAGTGTATATATAAAATTTAAAAATATATTAAGTTGCTTTAAAACAATATGTATAGCTATAAAAGTTGGAGTTATTTTAACTTTGATATGTACCAAGTCTCTTAAATATTGAAATCTTGTAGACTTCTTGTGCTTCTGTGTTTTGCTTTCCTATTAGGCCATGTAGGAAACTGTGTTCTTGTTATTGGTAGAGGGGCCCTCACTGAAATCCAAGCTTGGAAGGATTTCCTATGTTTTTTCAGATTCTCTTGTTTGTTTTTGAGGGATGGGGCGTGGAGCCAGAGGGATGTGCGGGAAGGGTTTCTCTAACATTGACATCTATTCCATGAGCTTTTTCAAGGCGCTTATTTTATGGCAGCGTATTAAACTTCTTTGATATTCAAGTGTGTCTGTGTAGTCACTGAAGAGGGCACAGAACGCCTTGGAGCCAGGCATTCAACTTGCAGCCTAAGACAAAATTGATGAGTTGCCGGAAGAAACCACAAAGCAATACTTCCACCAAGTGTCCGGGCCTAGAGGAACCTTGTTTGCTAAATGTAAGTAACAAATCATTTTGTGAGTTTTGTATAACTTCAGGAAAAAGACAAGCCAATGGAGGAATCCTTGAGATGCCCATGGCAGGGTTGGAAAGATGCCAGCATTTTCTTCTGAGGGGCAGGGAGCAATGGAGGTCAAGCTCCTGACCTCGGGCTAGCCACTGGGAAGTGTGCAGGCCACAGGCCAGGGCTGCCCCAGCTCTCATCGTCCTTGCTGGAGTATGGCAGAAAAAGTCCTTCTATTTGCTAGCTTCATGAGTTTTTTCATTGTATTCGTTCAGCTCTGCTTGAAGTGGGTCAGCTTAAGGGCCCAGTGATTCTTTACAAGCTCATTTGACTGTGCTTGTAAAGAACCACATCCAGCAAAAAATAACCCTGCAGCTGATTGCCAGGCCACCCCTCTAATTTGAATTTGGAAGATTACCTTGCTCCAGATTAGTTGTTTTCATTGTTAAGATAGACCTCTTTTCCTCCAATAGTCATCCTGTAGTGGAATGAGAATACTGACCCAAGAGGTGCAGACTGGCTGCCTTGGGGTAAGGGGCATCTCGAAATTAACTCTGAGGGCTTTGGGTTTAGGGATGATAGAGATGTGTCATCACCAATCTCAGGAAAACTTGGCAGCCCGAGTAATCAGGATGTCGCGCCTGTTGGAAGTCTGGGCACTGCCTTTTGGTCCCAACCAAGCCTTGCTGCTGCCCATTCCCTTCCTTTTAGCAGTGAAATTTGCCACTGAATTTACTTCAAGAAATAGCAAACTGGTGGCCCATAGATGTGTTTTCTTTAACCTAGTGTTTAAAAGAATGAGCTTTTTTTTTTTTTTTAACATAAAGATTAAGAGTTCTGACTTCTTTTTTTAAAAAAAGTTAAAAATACGAAGATTTGAAAGAATTAGCTGATGGTAAGAGTCAGCAGACACACAGTACATTGGAGAATGTGTCTTTCAGGTCACCACAGCCCCTGACTCTCCATTCCCATTTGTCATCACTGTTTCTTTACAGCAGGTCTATGCACGTGCTGCTTTGGCAGAAGTGGCAACACAGATGATAGGCCAGGTGACTGACAGGTAAGCTACTGGCCTTGCCGCACAGGAGCATCCAACCCCATTGGAACCCATTTTCTCTCCTTCACCCTCTTCGTTACGTTTCCTGCAGAATCCCTGATTTTTTTGGAAGGCACCACTGAAGTTATAGCAGGTGGCCCCTTTCAAGATGACCCATGTGCTGTCAAGTTGTGGCTTGTATGACCATTGCCGCGGCCCAATTTTCCGCTGAAATCTGTCCATGGTACTGGCTCAGGCCTCCCTTTACTGTCAGTGACCTTGCCCAGCCTGCCTGCCTGCCCAGGCCTGGCCTCCCCCATCCATCCTGTGTCCTATAAATCATGAAACTGTGCTTGCAGTTTTCTCATCTGATTGGTGACACAGCCACTGCAGACCGGTGTTTGCCTGCTTTCTCCAGTGTCTTAACAGCCACTGTGCTAGGGACGGGAAAGTGAACCTCACAAGGCATCTGAGAAGTCACACTATTGATTGTCCTGATGGGCTCCAAAATCCTCAGAGCCACATTAAAAAGATGGGTGTGGCTCTGTGCGCAAACTTACAGAATGTCCCTGTCACGGCAGTTACTTGAAGGGAGATGAGGATGGGCAGCCTCCCCAGCTCAGCCTCGCACTGACAGACCCTGGGGGGCTGTGCCCCAGCCCTCTCCCAGGGCCCCCTCCTTCAGGAGGAATGGATTTCAGGAAGACAAGCGCGTTCCAGGGACAGATGTCCTACATGTGTAGCCCCTTGGAGCCACCCTGGGGTCCCAGGTGTGATCAGCCCAGAAGCCCTAGTGCCCTAGGAGAGAACGCCGGCAGCACCGGGCTCACCCTTGGTGGAGATAAAGAGACCAACAAGGCAGAGTGAATCAATGTCATGTTCACATGGAAGACAACAGACAGTATCAACATAGTCTAAAACGATACTTCAGGGGCGGGCGCAGCTCCCTCACAGGCCTGCTCTAGGCCAGTCTCTCTTTTTTTTTTTTTTTTTTGGAGACAGTTTCACTCTTGTTACCCAGGCTGGAGTGCAATGGCGCGATCTCGGCTCACCGCAACCTCCATCTCCTGGGTTCGAGCAATTCTCCTGCCTCAGCCTCCCGAGTAGCTGGGACTACAGGTGTGCACCACCATGCCCAGCTAATTTTTTTATTTTTAGTAGAGACGGGGTTTCACCATGTTGAGCAGGATGGTCTCGATCTCTTGACCTCGTGATCCACCCGCCTCGGCCTCCCAAAGTGCTGGGATTACAGGCTTGAGCCACCGCGCCCGGCACCAGTCTCTTAAGAGTCCCATCAAGACTACAGAAACCCCGACAAAACGTGTCACGACCACATCGCATCCGAAAGGCAAAACAAGACGCTGGATGTTGACTTTAACATATAAAAATACTATAACAAAATGAAATACAAATATATATTAGAATCTGTAAGTATTCTGTATAAAGAGATACTTTTGCGGTTAGGCTGCCATCAGGCAAAGAGGAGACAAAGTCCAGCCTTTTCCACTTCCTGACACCTTCACCGGGAGCCCCAGCCCTGTCGCCAGGGGTGTTGCCAAGGCCACAGCTCCCTCGGGACGCACCCTGCTGTATCTCTTCATGTCTAAAATGCAGAGAGAACGAGCGGTCTTCACAAAGGGGTGGGGGCGGGGGCAAGATGTGGAGAGGACTTCTCAGAGGGACAGTTTCGCTGTAGCCGCATTCCGGACTTGGAAGCCGCGTGTGAACAGGCAACGTGAGTGTGGGCTCAGGTCCTTAGCAACTCGCTGGTGGATGGCCACATTGGAGAAGAAGCTGATCCTGGGGCACACAGCTCTCACCTCACCTCATGGCGGATTCCAATCCTCAGCCTGCTCCGAGGTCAGCACTGCCATGCTAGGAGGCTGGGCCACGTGGAGGGGCCGGTCAGGGGAGGCTTAAGCTCACATGGTGCTCCCTGGGAACAAACACGCCAGCCACTCGCCTCCCAGCCCTGTGGCGCCAGGTGAGGGGTGAGGTATCACCTGTCTACAGGTGCCCTTTCTACCACCTGCAGAATGAAGAGGTCTCCTGCCAGTCAGTGCCCTTCAAGCCTGGGAATTGGCTTCTCCAGGGTGGTGGGGAATGGTGGTGGCCAGGGGATCTTTCTTTCTCAGAGTTGGTGAGCACCTTTCTTCTAGGGAAGAGGCAAGCTAGCTGCCCTTGAGCTTTCCTGCCCTATCCAGCCCAGTGCAGCTGTTCTGCAAGGTCCCACGGTGGCCTGGGAACTCGGAGTAAGAGAGGGATGCTGTGCTATGTGGCCCTGGGAGAAGCCCGATGAGGCCCAGGCTGCTGTCTACTTCGGGGTGGGGGCAGGGACTGTGGCCTTGCTCAGAGCTACAAGCAAGTAGATCCCAGCTCCCTGGTGAGGGGCAGATCCTGCCATGATGATGCCTCCCCCGGTGGGCAGGGTGGGCTCTCTTCCCATGGACTCAACAGTTGCTAGATTGAGTCCTTGTGGTCTGGGACATGCCAGGCGCCCCCTACCCCAGCTCTAGCCTTCTAATCAGCATCAGGGGCTCCCCTCACCGCCCTGGGCGGGGATGTGGGCACAGGACACGGACACAGTGCCACTCTGTCCCTCATCCTGAACACACACCCAGCCATGCCTCCTGGTCACAGGTGGAGGGAGCCAGGGCAGGGACATGCTCACTGCTGTTGCCCACCAGAAGCCCCCGGGGATGTGCCCTCTTGGTGAGACCCTCTGGGGAAGGAAAGGGCAACTTTGCGTCCCTTTAGCCAATTCACAATTTGGCCTCACAAACCATCTTTCTACATTTTCACCGTGTATGGAAGAGACGCCTACAGAGATGATCATATTCAGCGCCTCTTCCAACACGGGCTCCTTTGCTGCCAGCAACCCTCTGGCCTGGGCTGCTGTCTGTGGCTGGAGCCCACACTCAGCTCAACTCTTCCCAGGCATCCTAGGCATTCCTGCAATGCTCTGGGATTCGTTTATATCTATCTGTCCATTAGGCTAGAATGCCCACAGTTCCCAGCCCCAGGTTAGGCACATAAATACTTATGATCCGTGAAGATGAGTCTTCTAACTCTGGCCTCCCAAGACCACAGTGGGGGAGTCTACACTGTTCCTTCTGTCATCCCACCCACCCGATTTTACAGCTGAGGAACCCGAGGCCCAGGTGGGGAGAAGTTTGTCCCGAGTGATAGAGCCAGTGGGGACTTCCCAATGCCCGCAGCACCATCCCTTCCAGTGCTCCCTACCCGCCTGCGGTATGAAGGACTCTGAACCAGCTGCTCCAGGGTCGAGCACCCTGGCACAGACCCCCACTCCCAGCCCCTCTGCCGATAGCTCACCGACAGCTTGTGGCTGGCTGCTGGCTGGGGATCCCAGGACCAGTGCCCCTTCTGTGGCCAATGTCTGGAGGCAGATGGTGTTTGTTTACCTAGAGCAAAGAAGCCCCTGCCCTCTTTGGTGGGGTCTGCCACCATAAGCAGCCCCTGTGGCTGTTACCTCCACATAAGCCCTCCTTGAAGCTACAGTAGTCAATCCTAGAACTTTTGGATTCAGAGGCCTTGTCCTAGAACCATCTCCACCCGCAGTGGCTGCAGAGCAGCCAGTCAGCCCAGAGGGGAAGGGTCCAACCCTCCCTGGCCAGCAGGAGGCGGCACCCCCGCTCCGCAGCCTGGCCTACCACCAGCAGGTTCTGTAGCAGTGGGATGAGCCAGGCTGGCTGCTGATGAGGCTGAGAGTACTTCACTGGTACCTGCAGAGGGGTGAGAGGCTTCCGGGGCCATGGACCCAGCTCCAAGCCAGCCTGGGCCACAGGCCAGAAGGGCAGGGCTGGTTTGGAAAGGTGTCATTTATCTTCTCCAGACCCAGGTAGCAGGTAAGGAGGGGTGTCATCGTTCTGCACTTCTTGGCCTGACCTCATGCACACATTCATTCAACAAATATTTATTAAGCGCCTATTTGTGCAAGGCACTTCCGGAGAGGGCAGCCCACAACCCGGGCCTCACCCATCCTCTCTGCCCCACAGCTATGGCGCAATTTGCTTTTAAAAGGCTGTTCTGGCACCACCCCACCCAGGAGGGCCCAGCTGCCCAGGAGCCATCCTGTGATGACCTGCACCCCAGCCCGCTGCAACGGCTGGGTCCCCCTTGCCCACCCTCAACCACCTGTCCATGCCTGGCGCTATGCACAGAGGGCACAGCCACATTTGGTGGGCTTTTCCACCTCCTCGGCAAAAGAGGTCCCATCACTGCACTCAAAGGTGAACTTCCTCCGCTTCAGCCGAAGGCCCTGGCAGCAGCCCTGGCCTGGACACGAGCCCCGGCACTCCACCCATGACAGGGGCCGCGTGGTCCGGCAGACGGCATAGCCCCTCTGGACCTGGTGAAAGTCCCGGACAGGGTCCCCCCGGCACTCGGACTCTGGATGGGACAGACACCAAAAGAAAGCCTCAGGGCACACCCATGGGTGAGCTGCTGCCTCCAGGGAGGCGGGAGGAAGAGGAGGAGGGCAGCATCTGCAGGGTGGAGCCTGTGGCGCTCAGACCCCATCATACTTCCCCTCTCGCCGACATGCACAAACTCCTCCCAGGGCCTTCCGGGACAGATTGAACTGCTCAAGGGAGGCAGGGTCCCCATTGCTAGAGTTGTGCAAGAGAGGCTGGGAGGACCCAGAGGCAACATTATGAAAAGGATTCATGCTGGGGAGGGGACGGCCTAGGGGACCCTTAGGGTGCCTGAGTTCTGGGTTTCTCTGGCTTCTCCCTGCCCGGCCTTAGCAGTCTGGATTCCAGTAGAAGCATCTTGGTCAAGGAGCAGGGAGGGCCTGGGAAAGACTCCCCAACCCTCGGACTTCCTGCTGCCGCTCCCAGGTCATGATGTGATGGGGCCAAGATGCAGAGGTTGGGCCAGGAGCTGTTACCCCGGGTGGTCTCTTCTGCAAGGAGAGAACCCAGCCAGAAGAGGCACATACCCTGGATAAGGGAGCTGCAGGGCAAACTGGGCCAGGAAAGATGGGGGGGCAGTGTCCAGAGGGTGGAGGGACCCCAAAAGCCTCACAGTAGCCCATGGCACAGGGCTGGGGGAGGAGAAGGGCTGCCGAGGCTGGGAGGAAGAAAGAGTCAAATCGCTAAAGCAATTTGTGGGGGACCCTGGGGAAGGCACATCAGGAGGGGGGGCCCTGACCTTGCTCACACAGCTCGCCCGAAAAGCCGGGGTCACACACACAGTGTGCCTCCTTGGTGGCCAAGGCCTGGCAGTGGCCATGCAGGCACTGCAGGCCTCTGCAGGGCTCTGCTGGGGCCCCGGCCTGGTTGCACAGGGCCCCCGAGTACCCATCCTGGCACTGGCAGCTGTAGGAAAGAGCGTCGAGGGGCACAGCATTGCCCGTGGACACACCTGCAGGGGACAGAGAAACGGTGCTGTGAGGACAGACCCAGCCAAGCCCCACCCGAGGCAGCCCACCCCGCCCAGCCCTGACTTCACAGGTCTTTATTCTGTTCCCAAGATGGAAACAAACGGGGTTGCCTGTGACTCTGCATGTGTCCTTATGAGCCTTGCTCTATTAATAAAAAAGTGAAAGCCAGATAAAAGTAATAAAACCCTGGGTTGGGCCAGATGTTCTCATTTATGCTGGAAGACTGTAAGGCAGCCCTTCCCATGGGGAAGGAGTAGGTGGGCAGGGCAAGGGCTCCCCCAGGGCCCCAGGCTCACTTGTGGCCATGGCAGGGGCCGTCAGCGGGCTGGTCGCAGTGCAGGCCCCCCCAGCCGGCCTCACAGTGGCATGTGGGCCCCGGGGTGGCGTTGGGCTGACAGATGCCGTGCAGACAGTAGAGCTTGCGGCAGGGTTCACAGCCTGGCACAACGCCCGGCTTCATCTGCGTCTTGGTGAAGTCCTGTAGCTCATTGTTGATGTACAGGTTTCGGATGCATCCGTGGAAGCTGGTGCCATTGAGGATCTGCCACAGGCGGAAGGCAGCTGAGTTGACATCCACGGGCATCCCTGGAGTAGGAGGGAAGCAGAGCTGGGCTGAGTCAGGCTCGGCCATGCTGGACAACCACCTCTGAGGTCTGGGCAGCTCCAAGGCATTCCCTCTTGCCTGCAGCCTCTGTCCTTCGTCTCTGCAACCCTGATCCAAGGTCCTTTGCCACCTTGGAGGGCCCAGACTCCTTTCCCAGATGAAAGGGAAAAGCTGCTTCCTCTTTGATTGGAGCTGGAGCATCAGGCCTGGCAGTGGCCAGCTGCTGGGTGTGGCTACCAGGTGCCTGTTCCTAGTCTGGCTGCCCTCACCAAGCCACCTTCTCTCCCTGGTGAGCTTTTACCTCCCAGAGACCCCAGCCGTAGCAAAGGGGCAGGGCCGAGAACTCATGTGTGTGGTGCTGGGTCATTGCTTTTGTGGCCATCCCTTCTCAGCAGCCCTCTGAAGTAGGGCTTGCTAAGCCCCATTTGGCAGATGCTCATGACTGGCCTGAAGCTTCTGAGCTAGGATGAGGCCCAGGGCCATCCCTCACCCCTGCCCACCAGCACAACCCTGCTGCATCCAGCAGCCTGCTCATCAAGACCTGGAAACGCTTGCAGGTGGTAGATGGGGTCATCTAGCCTGCAAAGCCCCTAAGGCCAGCCGAGGCAGAGGCTGATGTAGGGACTCAGTGCCTGAGTCTCTTGCAGCGGGGCCTGGGCCTCTGAGGGCCCCAAGACTAGACCTTAAGCCACTGAAAAGCCCCTTCTGGCCCAAAACCAAGAGGAAAGGTGCCCACGGTATTGCAGACAGCTTAGACAGTCCCAGGACCTCCCCTAAGCGAGGCCTTGCACCCAACCCAAACAGCCATCCTTCTTGGTCAGTCTGGGCCAGGCAGAGAGCAGCTGGGCTCCAGGCAGCGAGGCCAGTCCTGCAGCTTGGCCACCACCAGGATCATCTCCCCACTTGACATTTCCCGCAGCTCAGTCCCTGGGCACCAGCACTCCTGGCCAGACTCAGGGCCAGACAGCAAGAGAGGCCCCCACTCTGCCAGGGCCAGATCCTCACCTCCCACATAGAGTGGCGCCTCACTGTTGAGCGTATAATGTTTGCCAAAGTTGTCCATGGTCATGGGGCTGCCGCCATCAATGGAGAGATTCACCATCTGGTCAAAGGCGACCAGCTCAACAGTGTGGAACTGCCCATCATTGATCGTCTCGGCACTGGAAGAAGAGGGGGTTCCCCAACCCAGGGAGTGGGCATCAGTCTGGACCATCCCTGCCTGGGCACTTCCCCAGAAATACCAGCAGCTGCTCCCCAGGAGACTAAATCTTAAGGACTGTGGGGGCTCAATGGCCTATCACCTGATCCCTCTCACTCCCCTTCCTGGACTCCCTGGGGAAGGCCGAGAGGTTTCAGGCAGGGTTCTCAAACTTACGAGTCTCCCCCTCCCCATTAAGGAGCTTCCTCTAAGGTGGTGGAGGGATGGGGAAGGGTGGGGCCCCTGCACAGGTCTGAGCGACCTGATGGTTCAAGTGTCCTTCAAACTTGGGCAGCCCAGGTTTCTAGAGGTCTTGATAACCACTTGCTTTCGGCCCAGGAGGCCTCGCCCTGGCAGTCCCATACCCCTGAGGCCAGCTGGAGGACATGAGGAAGCCCTACCTGTAGATGGCAGAGCTGGGGTAGCTGCCTGGGTCGTAGCTGACACGCACATGGCCCTGGTACAGCTCAACTGCAATGTGGTCGTTGTCCCCGTTGTACAGAAGGATTCCATTGTCCTCTGCCGTGGAGACCTGATGGGCAGTGGCACTTTCTCTCCCACCCGACCCCACGCAGCAGCAGCACAGGCTGGCAGGTGGGGCAGAGAGGGGACCCAAGGTTGGAAGAGAGATGCTCTCTTCCTCTACCTGGCCAGCCTCCCCAGGGCCATTCCTCCAGGGGGCGCTGACAGAGGCTGCAGCCTCGGGTTCAAGCCCCATCCACTGCCAGCCTGGCCAGGTCCAGGCAGGGGAGGGTTCTGGGCCACTGAAGCCTGGAAACTCTGTGCCAGAGAGTGGCCAAGAGACCTCAGGACAACCTTCCCAGAGAGAAAAATTAGAACGGGACCTCTCTCTGCTGAGTGTGGGTGCCCTGTCCTGTGGGCCCCAGGGAGCTAGCTGCTTAGGGTGGGAACTATGGAAAGGACAAGTTCCGGAAGGCTCTCTGACAGCCAGAGTCATCCAAGCCTAGTGGAAGGAGCCACTCAGAAAGTAGTGCCTGTCTCTGGAACTGTGCAAGCAAAGTGAGATCTTTGCCTCAGGAGGGAGATCCCTCTAAGATGCTGCAGGAGCCATGATCACTGTTCCCTGCCTTGTCCTGCTTCCTCCGTTTCATCTGGTAAAGACCCTGAGGCCCCTGGTCTGTGGAGCCGGGCATAGGACCCAGGCTGTCCAGTCACCCTGCCCCATCTCCTCGGACTCAGCGGTTGGTTCCGAGATGGGCATGGGACTAACGCCAGGCCAATCGGAGATCTTCCTTGAGCTGACGGAATTAAAACTTTCAAGGAAGAGCCTTCGTAAATGGTAAGATGAGGATAAACCGAAAACATGCCCAAGGCAATGGCTGGTTAGGGTTTTGGTGAATTTTATTTTTTGCGGTTAGGCTAGCTGTTGTCTTGCCCTGTAGACTATGTGAGTGGACAGGATATTGGAGAGGTGACATAGGGGAAGAGCAGAATGCGCATGTTTGAGAGGCTGAAGAGCTCTGAGAAAAAAGGGAAAGAGGACAAAAGAGAGGGAAGAAAGAGGTGGCATTTGTGACAGGGAATGGAAGTTGGGGGAAAGAGAAAGACGACTAAAGGAGAGTTTAACATTCCTTATCATGTGCTTGCAACGTAAGCCACTCTCCTCTCCATCCCCAAAAAGTATTTAGCAAAACATCGATAGATTTCACCAATGCCATTGAAGTGGGACTCGATTTACTCTCCCCTCACTATGAAGATGTTCTGAGATGGAACCGAAGGCAGGGAAAGGGCGATTTAAGGGACCCTAGGTACATTTGGTTAAAGGGATTAGCTCAAAGTTAACTCTGGTCATACTCCAGCCACACATAGAAAGCCTGTCTGCAGCACTGAAGGCAGATGCTGAGGAGTAGTTGGGACAAGAAATGGTGGGAGAGGATGATGGCAAGTCTAGTTTTCTGAATCCAGTTACCCATGAGACCATGTCCACCCCTGCTCTGGTTTTGTGACTCTATAACCTTTCTAACTGTGCTTAAACTAGTTCAAGCTGAGATTCTGATATCCGCATGCAAAGAATTTTGATTCACAGGGTCCTTTTAGTTCCCCAGGCACCATGCAGGGACACGTCTTGATGCTCTGGCCTAAGCCAGGGTCCCCTGCTCCCTGACGCCCATCTATGACCAACCCCTCTGGCACGCACCTGCAGGGTGATGTTGGCCCGTGGCCAGTTTTGCAGGTCAGTGAACTGCAGGTAAGTGTCCCGATCCACAAAGTTGACACTGAGCAACTTCTCACACTCAGGGCCACCGAAGCCTGGGAGGCACTGGCACACAGGCCTGTTGCCCTGGTCCACACAGTTGGCCCCATTCTGGCACTCAGTCCCCTCACAGGGGCTCTTGGGGGCAGGCGGATGGGGAGGGATCTCACAGAGCTGTCCGCTGAGAGGAAAGGACACAAGTCAGAGAAGGCCAAAGAGGAAGGAGGTATCTTCCTCTCCCACAGCCCTAAAGAGAAATTCACTAAACATCTTGGGAAAATGGATTCTTAAAGTGACAGAAGATGCTCCTAATAAACACTTTTCATGAGAGAGATGAGAGCTGGAAGGATACCAAGAAACAAGTATGGTCCCTAGTCTAGCAGCATCAACATTACCTAGACACTTGATAGAAATGAAAAACCCACTGAATCTGCTTTTTAACAAGATCCAAGATGATTACTGCCTATGTCAATAACTCTTCAAGGCAGATTTTACTATACCCATTTTGCAGAAAAGAAAACTGAGAATTAAGACACAGGCATAAAGAGGGAAAAGTCAAATTACTAAAATAAGAAATAAAAGAAGGGACATTACTACAAACCTTATAGAAATACAATGAATTATAAAGGTATACTATGAACAAAAATACACCAACAAACTAGCTAACATAGAGAAATGGACAAATTCCTAGAAATACGCAAACTACCAAAACTGAACCAAGAAAAAATAGAAAATATGAATAGACCTATAACTAGTAAAGAAATTGAATTAGTAATCAGAACACTTCCCAGGTCCAGATGGTTTCACTGGTGAATTCTACCAAACATTTAAAAACAATAAATATCAATTCTTCACAAACTTGTCCAAAAAATCAAAAATGAGGGAACACTTTCTAACTCATTCCATGAGACCAGCATTACTCTGATACCAAAACCAAAGATGTCACAACAAAATAGATCACAAAAAAACTAGACCAATATCATACATTTTGTCACCAAAATCCTCAACAAATTATTAGCAAATCAAATACGCCATTGAAAAAAAGATTATATACAATGACCAAGTAAGATTTACCCCAGGAATGCAAGGCTGGTTTGACATCTGAAATTCAATTAATAGAATACATGATATTGATAAACAAAAAAGCAAAACAAATGTTCATCTCAATAGATGCAGAAAAAGCATTTGACAAACTTAAACATTCCTTCATGACAAAAACACTCCACAAACTAGAAATAGAAGTGAACTGCATCAACCTGATAAAGGGCACCTACAAAAAACACACAAATGACATCATACTTAGTAAAGAGAGACTGAATTCTTTCCTCCTAAGATTAGGAACAACGCAAAGATATTTGTTCTCACAACTTCTATTCAATATTTTACTGGAGGTTCTAGCCATGACAAGAAAAAAGGAAAGGAAAGAAAAGGAATGAAGGAAGAAGGGAGGGAGAGGGAGGAAGGGAAGGAAAGGCAGGCAGGAAGGCAGGCAAGAAAGGGAAAGAGGGAAGGAAGGAGAAATAAAATGCATCCAGATGACATGATCTTGTGTAAGAAAATCCTACAGATTCCACTAAAATGCTATTAGAATTAATGAAATAATTCAGCACGATTGTAGAATACCAGATTAATGCACAAAAATCAAACAAAAAATAAAATTAAAAAAACAATTCCTTTACAATCGCATCAAGCAGAATAAAATAAGAATAATTTTTTTTAAAGTGCAAAACTTATAGTTTGAAAACTACAAGATGTTGAAAGAAATTAAAGAAGATCTAAATAAATGGAAAGGCATTAATATTCATGGATCAATATGCTTAATATTGTTAAAATGGGAATACTAGCTAAATTGATCTACAGCTTTAATACAATCTTTATCAAAATCCCAGTTAACTTCTTTGCAGAAATCAACATGCTGACCCTAAGGTTCACACAGAAATTCAAGGCAATCAGAATAGCCAAAACAATCTTTAAAAAGAAAAACAAACTAGGAGAACTCACACTTCCCAATTTCAAAATAAGATCACAAAAACTACAGTAATCAAGAAAGTGTGGTACTGGCCTAAAGATAGTCATACAGATTAATGGAATAGAACTTAGAGTCCAGAAATATCCTTACATTTAGACTTAGTTGATTTTGACAAGAGTGCCAAGACTGTTCAATTGGAAAGGATTATGTTTTCAACAAATAGTGTTAGTACAACTGTATGTATATCTGCATGCAAAAGAATGAAGTTGGGCCTCCTACCTCACACCATATATAAACATTAACACAAAATGAATCAATGGCCTAAATATAAGAGCTAAAACTATAAAACTCTTAGAAGACAACACAGGTGTAAATCTTCATAACCTTGGATTAGGCAATGGTTTCTTAGGCTACCCACAGCACAAGCAACAAAATAAAAAATAAGCTAGATGTACCCAAATTAAAAACTTTTGTGCATTATCAAGAAAAGACAGCCAACAAAATGGGAGAAAATACTTCCCAATCATATATCTGATAAGGGACTTATCTAGCATACATAAAAAGCCTCTACAACTCAATAACAAAAAGACAAATACCTCAATTTAAAAATGAGCAAAGAACTTGAATAGGCTTTTTTTTTTTCCCAAAGATGATATTTTTAAATGGCCAACAAGCACATGAAAAGATGCTCAACATCATTGGGCACTGAGGAAATGCAAATCAAAACCACAATGAGCTACCACTTCACACACTCATACACTGCTGGTGGGAATGGTACAGCCATTGGGGAAAACAGCTTGGTAGCTCCTCAAACAGTTAAACACACAGTTAACATATGACTCAGAAAATCCACACCTAGGCAAATACCCAAGAGAATTAAAAGTGTATGTCTACACAAAAACCTGTACACAAATGTAGGTAGAATCGGTCTTCATTATGGCCAAACAGTGGAAACTACCTAAACACCTATCAACTAATAAGTGGGTAAACAAAATGTGGTATGTCCATGCAACAGAACACTATTTAGCCATGAGAAGGAATGAAGTGCTGACACTTGCCACCACATGGATGAATCTTGCAACATGACTCTGAGTGAAAGCAGCCAGTCACAAAGAACAGCACAAAGATATGATGCACCTTACAGGAAATCTCCAGAACAGGCAAATTTATAGACACAAATATTAGGAGATTAGTAGCTGCCTGGAACTGGGATGAAGAGGGGCTGGTATGACAGATAAGGGGTGTGGAGTTTTTTGGGGGGAAAGGAAAATGTTCAAAATTGATTGTGGTGATGGATGCCCAACTCTGGGAATAAACTAAAAGCCATGGAATTTTACATGTAACTGAGTAAACTGTATGGTACGTAAATTATATCTCACTGAAGCTATTTTTTTTTTTAAAAAAATGCATGAGTGGAGCATGGGATGTGGGTGGCCAGAGGGAGGGTGGGCCGTCTAACCTCCTAGGGGAGCCCAGTGGGCAGGGAGATGCCCTTTGTGGCAGGACGTGTCCTCAGAGGCTCGGCTAGGCAGGTAAGTGACAGGACACGGCCCAGTCATCTGCACCCATCTCTCACCCCCTCCACCAAGCAGGTTAGGGGTCCTCTGCCTAGGCCCTGAGCCGTTCATGACTTTCCCAAGGCTGCACAGCTGGTGACTGGCAAAGGCATGATTAAAACCCCAGCATCCAACTCCCAGGCTCTGACCCATACCGCTTTCCTTAGCAATGGCTGGAGGTTCCTGCCAGCCCAGGGGCTGACAGCCACAAGGAGTCACTCCTAGTGTGTCCAGGGGCCACTCACCTGTAGCCCTCGGCACAGAGGCAGGAGTAGCTGTTGACTTCATCTACACACTGCGCCCCATTCTGGCAGCGGTGGTCCCTGCAGTCATCCTGGTTCTCGCTGCAGTTGTCACCTGCGTAACCTGGCACACACTCACACCTGTGGGGGGTGGGGAGGGATGGTTGGGGGGGTCAGCCACACAGAACCTGGGAGGCCAGAGGAGCGCATTGCCCCCCACCCCACCCACCACAGCCTGTACATGTGAGAGAGAGAACCTCGAGTTCCAGTGATGCTGTTCTCCGGGAGGCCACACAGAGCTCTGGATCTAAAAGGGCCCCCAGTCCTTCCTGGGAGCCTTTCCTACTAGGAGAAGAGAGCTCACGTGGACTTGAGGCAGGGGCCAGGGACTGGAAGAGTGGACCCCAGTGGCAGGAGGAGATGGAGTCTCGTCACGGAAGACCCACCCTCCCCAACAACAGCACATGCAAGGCCAACTGTCAGCCCTTTCCTGACCTGCCCAGCGGTTCAGCTGCACCCTCCCTGTTCTCCAGGATCTGTCACCCGTGACTGAGTTTCACAGGCTCCCCCACTCCTCTTTCCCCCAGTCCTCGGCAGGGCTGCTCAGTGGGTGCCGCGACCCCAGGTCAGCCCCCAGTTGCCACCATGCCTCACTGCTGGCCCCAAACACTCCCTGTGGGCTACTGTCTGCCTATCAAATAAAGGACACACTCCTGTAGCCCTTTCTAGTAATGGCCTTGCTCCCCGTCCTAACAGATCTGCTCCTCTACACCAAGCCCACCTCACCAAGCACTTCCCTGCCTTCACACCCATGGATTCCAGAATGCTATCTCCTTTCTCCCTGCAGGGTCCAGCCAGCCCCATAACTCACCTCCTCCAGGGAGCCTCTGGGGAGCACTCCAGCCCTCACTGAGCAGTCTCCTTATGAACTCCTTCTAAACTCCTAACTCTGAAGCTCAACCACACAACCTGGCAGACGGGTGCTCTTGCCTGTGTTTTTCACTCATTTCCTTGTCCAGTGTTTTTCAGGGTATAAGAAATACTTTCAAGCCCAGTACACACATACGTGCACACACACGCGCACGCATACACACACACACACACACACACACACACACACACTTGAAACCAGATTCATACGATACTTATTATCCTTATAAGATGGTATGTTGCTTCCTGATACTTTGTTTCATCCTTTTAATGTTAATCTTAACATTAACATTAAACAGGGGCTGGGGCTCCCTTTCTATCCAATTGATCACAATCTACTAATGAGTCTGGAGTTACAGTCTGAAAAATGTTACAGTAACTAAGCCGCCACCTACTCATTCATTCATTTAATGACTATATACTGGATATATGTCTTGGGTTCCAGGTAACGCCAGGCACAGCTGAGCATGTCAGTTCCATCTTTCCACCAGGACAGGCAGTTGAGAGAACATGCACTCAGCACTCCACCTGTGTGCCACGGCCCCAGTCCGGAGCTAAGCACCACGTTTGCCCTTCGTGATTGAGGGACTGTGCCAGGAGCTCCAGGCTGCACGGTGTGTACTCCTGCCTTATCCCACCCTCCAGGGAGGGCGCATGTCACCCGATCTGCCACTGCTGCTTGGTCTGCCTGCCAAGCCCCACCCCTGGAAGCCCCCACAGGAGTGCAGCGTTGGTCCACTGTTTGGATGGAGGCTCTTGTGAGCCCACTGATCATGGAAGCAGGCCTCAACGATCCTGGACTCTCACTTCCTGTCATGGGCCCCAGGCTGCCCCAGCTAGACAGGGGGATGCTGGGGGACTCCATCCACTGGTGTTGGCCTGAGTCCCTGGGCTTGGGTTCCTTAGCCGCAAGCCCCAAGAAGCTCTGCCCTGACCACCCCTTGCTGCCCTGATGGGTGGAATGGGGAGGTCTCAGAAATGAGACTACGTTTGCAAACTGCAGTCCGGAAGCATCATTTAAAAAATGTATGACCTTCATAAAGCAGTCTTCAAGTAACAGACACTTTCACATATGCTGGTAACAACCATGACGAAAACACAGGCTAACAACTTTTTACCCAAACCTCCTAGGGGCCAGATAGGTTTTGGAATTCAACACTTTTTAGGTTTTGGTAAGGTCAGACTATGCATATCACACAGCCTGCTGGTAGGCACTGAAGCTGCCCAGTAATCAGGCTTACTCATGTTTCTGCCACAAAATCTACACATATTCACATTACATGGGATGAATAACAACAGAAAGCAATCTCATGCCGGTGCAGGCCAGCTTTTATTACCAAATACGTCCAGGTCAGATTTTGCCATGAGATGGGATGCTTTCCCATGTTTTGTGGATTTTGTAATTGGGGATAAGAAATGGTGGATCTGGAATCATAGCCTGGAACACTTAACGATGCCAGACCTGGAGCTAAGTGCTTTCCATGCATTTTTTAAATTTCCCTTGCAACCAGCCCAGGAGGAAGCTACTGTCACGCCAGTTTACAGGCAAGAAAACAGGCTCGGAGCAGGCAAGTGACACCTTCAGGGTCATACTTCACACCCAGGTCTCTGTGGCCACAATGCTGTGCCCAACACCCCTCCACCCGCCACCCTGCATGGATTCTAGGAACCCTGTGGAACTGAGACCAAACCCACTGGACAAGTGAGGAAATGAGGGTGGGGTGTGGAGTCCAGATTGGAATCCAGCCTGACTCAGCAACCAGAGCTCCTCCCTGGTCCTGGAAAAGGGACAACACTGACCTGGGCCCATCTGGGGTGCCCACACACTGGGCCTCGTGTTGACACGGGTTCAGATCCGGAGAGCACAAGTCCACCAGCTGCTCACAGGCCCTTCCTGGAGAAAGAAGGAGCAAGGGGCAGGAGAGAAGTTGTTCTCCTGTGCTCTGCCAGGTGGCCGGGCCCACAGAAACCACCGGCGCACACTGAGCCAGGGACCCCCTTCCACTCCCGGGCATGGGGGCTCTAGGCTGTCTCTGTCCCCCACCTCCCCCAGACACTGCGGCCCTGACACGCTTACCCTCGTACTGCAGGGGGCACTGGCAGGTGTAGTTGCCCACGCCGTCCACACAGATGCCCCCGTTGGCACAGGCATGCTCCACACAATCATCCGTGTTTATCCCACAGGTTGGTCCTTCAAAGCCGGTGGGACAGGAGCACCTGTGTGGGGAAAGGGAGGATGGAGAGACAGCCCTCCTGGGACACTGATGGAAGCCTGTGGCTCCCAGTCAGTATCACCATTCCACAGAGTTAGGGTCCCTACTCTGGGCCAGGCCCTTGCCAGGTGCTGGGTGGGGCTAGAGGTGACCAAGACTGACCCTGCCCTCATGGGATTCACTCACAGTCTAGTGGGAAGGCAAAGGGGAGGTGGGCAGAGAGAGCAGCGGTAGTAAGGAAGCGTGGTGTAAGCACTGAAGCCAGGGAGCCAGGACAGAGATGCAGGAGACACCTGGCTCCTCCTCGGCAGAGAATGATAAGGGCAGGCTTCCTGGAGGAGGTGATGAATTAACCAAGGACCCTGACAAGGGAGAGCAGGAGGAGGAGGAAGGTGACTGGGGCAGAGGAGTGTGTAAAAACCTGGAGTAGCTGGGCGCAGTGGGTCACACCTGTAATCTCAGCACTTTGTGAGGCCAAGGCAGGTGGATCACCTAAGGTCAGGAGATCAAGACTAGCCTGGCCAACATGGTGAAATCCCGCCTCTATTAAAAAACAAAAATTGCCGGGCGCGGTGGCTCAAGCCTGTAATCCCAGCACTTTGGGAGGCCGAGGCGGGTGGATCACGAGGTCAAGAGATCGAGACCATCCTGGTCAGCATGGTGAAACCCTGTCTCTACTAAAGGTGCAAAAAATTAGCTGGGCATGGCGGCGCGTGCCTGTAATCCCAGCTACTCGGGAGGCTGAGGCAGGAGAATTGCCTGAACCCAGGAGGCGGAGGTTGCGGTGAGCCGAGATCGCGCCATGGCACTCCAGCCTGGGTAACAAGAGCGAAACTCCGTCTCAAAAAAAAAAAAAAAAAAAAAAAATTAGCTGGGTATGGTCCCATGTGCCTGTAATCCCAGCTACTCAGGAGGCTGAGGCAGGAGAATCACTTGAACCTGGGAGGCAGAGGTTGCAGTGAGCCAAGATTATGCCACTGCACTCCAGCCTAGGCGACAGAATGAGATTCCATCTCAAAAAAAAAAAAAAGCCTGGAGTGGAAGTCTTCTGCAGGGGCCCTGCCCATTCACACAGTTCAATACTTCAGGAACACAGACTTCAGGCACAGTGAGCAAGAGGCTGCATTGAGCAGGAGCCTGGTCATGAGGGGCCCTGGAAGTCAGTGACCTTCAAGCCAGGACACACCTTCCCCTGGGGCACCCAGGGTTTTCCATGAGGTGTGTAGATCAGAGAGAGGTCCAAGAAATTAATGTCCAGATCTTCAAATATCTTCATGAGCTCCTCCCTAAATTGACCCGGCCCGGAACTCTAAAAAGGTGGCCTCTCAGCCTCAGTCCTTACAGACTGGGGGTAATGGGACACGCCCTCCAGGTAGAACGGGGAGCATGCCTCCAGACACCAAGTAAAGGGGCAATCAGGAATCCTGATGCTTAGAAAGTGAATGAATACATACAATCTAAGTCAAGAGATTTCCAGTTCTGTGTACTGGAAGTAATTGAAGGAAGGCCTCATGGAACTGTCAGCTGATAGAATATTAAAAATAATCTTGATGACAGGTCACTGTGGAGATTTGGCATGTAACCTGGGAAGGCTTTCAAAGAATTAAGTGACACAGCTATAATAAAACTAACCTCATCAGTTTATTTACATGAACAAACTCCTCTAGCATTTGCAGCTATAAAAACAAAACAGGAATAAATCTGCTGTGTCTTCTCATATTCTGCAACACTCATCCATAAACCAACTGAGAGAAGAAAAGAAAATGACCCACATCCATCTCATTAAAAGAGATACAGTCTAATAACATTTTCCTTTTATATGTACTAATTTTTAATTTTATAATATAGTTAAGTTGTTTTGAATTATTGTAGGGGTAACTTGCTGCAAAAGAAACTTTAAATCAGAGGCTTATGGTGATAAGAATGAAAGAAACACCTTTAAGTTTTAACTTACGTGTACCCATGGTGGGGACAGAGACGTATGTCAGGGTACTGGAGAAAAGACACTAGCATAAAAATCTATTAGGTTAGAAAGAAACATGGGAGGGTAAGGAATAAAATGCAAATGTTAGAGGAGAGAAAAGAACAAGGTGAAATATTTAACTGTTAAAGAAGAACCTGTTCATGTCATTTTAAAGTGGGGTCCAATTGGCTGGGCATGGTGGCGCATGCCTGTAATCCCATCACTTTTTGAGGCTAAGATGGGTGGATCCCTTGAGGTCAGGAGTTTGAGACCAGCCTGGCCAACATGGTGAAACCCCATCTCTGCTAAAAATACAAAAATTAGCTGGGTTTGGTGGTGCGTGCCTGTGGTCCCAGCTACTCAGGAGGCTGAGGCAGGAGAACTGCTTGAACACAGGAGGCGGAGGTTGCAATGAGCCGAGATCCCACCACTGCACTCCAGCCTGGGTGACAGAACAAGATTCTGTCTAAAAAAAAAAAAAAAAAAAAAAGTGGCAAAATGCCATGCTGTTTAGATTTCATTGGAGGATGATAAAAGAATGATTTAATGTCATAGTTTTTAAAACTTAATTTTTGGTTTTAGAGACAAAGTCTCACTCTGCTGTCCAGGCAGGAGTGCTGTGGTGTGATCACGGCTCACTGCAGCCTCTACTTCCTGAGCTCAAGCAATCCTCCCACCTCAGCCTCCTGAGAAGCTGGGGCTACAAGCACTCATCATTACACCTGGCTAATTTTTAATTTTCTGTAGAGATGGGTTTTGCCATGGGGATTCTGCCACATTGCCCAGGCTGGCCTCCAACTCCTGGTCTTAAGGCCCTTCCACCTCAACCTCCCAAATAAAGCAATAGTTTTATCTTAAAATGTTCATAATATTTACAATGAAAAACTTATAATGAACATTTTAGCTGTCAATCTAAGAATGTGTGAGAGAACGTATAGTTTTTAGAATATGTTTGGGGAGTTATGTGAGTAAAAAGAATTCAAACCACCATTTCAGGAAATGGTCTGTGGTGAAATTTTTCCCCCGAAGGCTGGAGGGGACCAGCAGCGGGGTTTTCCACTGGGGTGACAGGGTCAGCCTCACATTTCAGGAAGTGCCCTCTGGGCAGCTGGAGCAGGGCAGTGGGAGTGGACGTGGCTTAGGAAAACAGGCGCCCAGTGAGCCTCAGGGTTGAAGGGGACTCATGGAGGCACCCCCTTTCTACCTGCAGGGCCCGCTCCCCTGGCCCCCAGTCTGTAAGGCGGTGAGGTGAGGGGACCGGCCCATCCTCCATCTCAAGGTGAAGGGGGTCTTTCAGCTCCCGCTGACTGTCTTAGGAATGAGGAGGGGCGCACCCATGGAGCTGCTCACCGAAGCCCAGAGGAGGCTGGGTGCAGAGTGTGAGGACGCCGTTCCCAAGGCAGCCCAGGGAAGAGAGGCCACGTACTGTTTCATTTTTACATCCGGTGATTTGGGTGGCAGAGGCAGGCGCAGCCATTTCTGCCCCTAGACTCAACATCATTTTCTGAAGAGCCAATTTATTGTGCCAGCAATTTATTTCCAGCAACTGAATCCTACGTATTCCTCAGGAAAGCTCTGGGATGCTGGGGCTCATTGGGGCGGGGGGGTCCTGGGGGAAGTAGCCAGTGGGAGGGGGATTGGGCGGCGATGTCGGCTCTGAAAGGACGTAAGAGATGGGGTCACTAGGGCTGGCCCCTTCACTGAATAGCAGGAAATGGGCTGCTCGGGGCAGGGCTGGGGGGCCATCTCTTCCCACAGTGCCCAAGGTGACTTATAAGATGGGAGACCCCAAAGAGACCAAACAGGCCTGGGCTCCCACCTCTGGGCAGACCCCACCCACCCAGCAGCAGCCTCAGCTGTGTCTCAGGGGCTCAGAGTGGCAGTTTGAGGGGGCTGGCCAGGGCCCTGCCTGTAGGCAGCACTGCCAGGGGCAGGCTGTTCAAGGGAGATTGGAGGCTTTGGATTGAGTGGAAATTGATAGGAATTTCAAATGCCCTGCTGTGGTGCTTGGCACTGCACTGTATATGCTTTGGCCATGGATTCCTGGTGCCTTCTAAAACACCCCCATGGCACTTGGCAGGAGCAGGAGGAAGGGCTGGAGCAAGAAGCCGCAGAGCCGGCTCCAAGCTCTGCTCACTCCTGGAGCAGGGGAGCTGCGCAGCCCAGGCGTCCGCTGGTCTCTCTGTGCTCCCACCACAGCTGGGCAAGGAGGGGCTTGGCCCGGTGGGCTTGGAGAGCCCTCTGGCTATGACTTGGTATACATGCCTGCTCCCCACAGCTGCCTCTACCTCCCCTCAGGGCACGGGAAGCCTGGGCCATCCCTGATGGAGAGGAGGGCCCTGAGGCACAGGTGCTGGCTCCTCAGCGCTCACCAGGCTCCTGCCCCTTCAGGCAACTCACGTGAATGGGGCATCCTCTCCCTCCTGTGCACGGCAGGTGCCCCCGTTTTCACAGGGGCCACTGGAACAGCTGTCCAGGGATACCTCACAGTCTCGGCCCTGGGGGGAAAATCAGTGATGGGGACCCCAGGGAGACCTGGGAGTTAGTGTGAGCCAACAGCCAGCCAGACCCTCAGCAGCTCAGCCTCCCTGTCCCAGGAGTTACTTGTTTTCATTCATTCATTTGCCCACTCCATTCATTCATTCATTCATTCATTCACATGTTAAGTCATTGATTACAGGTTCACTCAAGCATCTGCTCTGAGCCAGGCAGTGCCCTGGGCCCTGGGGAGGGACAGCCTGCAGCGCACAGGAGGCCTCCTCCTCCCCACCTCTGCCTCCACTCACCTTATAGCCGCTGGGGCAAGCACACCTGTACACCTCAAGGGGGTCATTGTGGCAGGTGCCCTGGTTCTGGCAGGGACTGGACAAGCAGGGATCACACTTGGCCTGGACAGCCAGTGTGGGGGGGCCTGCAGCAAGGAGAGGGTGTTAGTATGGGGGAGGGGTGGGCAGCCCAGGGCTGGGTACAGAGCCTCACCCCCCTAGGAGCCCACTTCCAAGGAGCCTTTTCCCTCCTGATTTTTCCCCAGATTGTGCTCATACTACCCGCCCCCCACCCCAGCACTGCCCACCTTTCCAGCCTTCAGACCCTTTTCTGTGAAACCGGGTTAATGACAGCCCCTGCCTCAGGCATGTATTCCAATCACAGCTGGAGGGCTCAGTGCAGCCCCGGGAGAGCTAAACCAGTGAATTCCAGTGCACACAGCGTGCTTGGCAGGCAGGCGGTGGGCGCTGTGCACAGCAGCCATTAGGGCCGGATGATCCATGTAAGGGCACAACTGCTACCACCGAAGTTGGCCAACCCTTGCTGTGTTCCCTCATGCCCTTCTGAGGCAATGACCCCAGCCTGACACCTGCTGATTAGGAAGACAGAAGGTGGCCACCTTGGCAGAGAGGAGACGGTGGCTCTGTGAGCATCGTGCCCAAGCTTGGCTCTGCAGGTTGGCCATGCCAAGGAGCAGGGGTTGTTCCCCTCCACGCCTGAGCCAGGGAGGACCATTTCCCCCATCTCCCTGCTATGGCAGTTCCCTCCAGCATCTCCAGGATGCACTGGCTGTGGAAGTAACCAGAGGAGCCAGCAGCCAGGCCACTTGGGACACACCCTGTCAGGGGCATCAGGATCTCAGGAGACTACATAGGAACTCAGGCTTCCCTAGAAGACACCTTCTAGAAGGGGTGGAATATTGCTCCTGCTGAGGAGGTATGAGCGTGAACAGAAATAAAAACACTTTGCAGCAGTAACTACAACACATGACAGACTTGTGGGGTGGAGGTGTGGTTCTGCTTCTTTTTTTTTTTTTTTTTCCTTTTTTTTGAGACAGGGTCTCACTCTGTCACCCAGGCTACAGTGCACTGGCACAAACATGGCTCACGGCAGCCTCAGTTTCCTGGGCTCAAGTGATCCTCCCATTTCCACCTTCCCAGTAGCTGGGACAAAGGCACACATCACTATGCCCAGCTAATTTAAAAAATTTTTTGTAGTGACAGAGTCTCGCCATGTTGCCCAGGCTGGTCTCGAACTCCTGGGCTCAAGCAAGCCACCCAACTCAGCCTCCCAGAGTGCTAGGATTACAGGTGTGAGCCACCACACCCAGGTGAGGTTCTGTTTATTCAGGTGTAGGTTACCTGGGTGAGTTTGGTTTGTGAAACTGCAGCGACTCATTCACTCATGATCTGTGTACTTCAATGTGTGTGCATGTTCTATTTCAATAGTAATTAAAAAACCAAAAACAAAACCCTTCTCACCAACACGAATCCTACCCCGTTAAACAAACACAGAGCAAATGTTTCAGCATAAACTGACTTGCTCCCAACAGCCAAGCCACAGATCAGGCCCCTCTGAGCTGTCACGGCTATGACAGCATCCTGCGAGCAGGGTGGCCCAGGACCTCCTCATTAACCAACGGCTGTCAGCTTCATTTCCGATGGTGGCCTCTGAGCTTGCAGAGGGCAAGGGCCGTGCTCCATGGCCTCCGGTGCCCTCCCCCTGCTGTGCCCCTGCACATAAAGCCCGGCCCAGCAGCCACTCAGCCACCTGTCTGTGCTCAGCAGGGCTTCTGGGGCTTGAGCTGTCTGTCACTCAATCCCTGAACATGTATTTACAAATGCCCACAGTGGAAGGTCTTGGGGGAAAGCTGGAAGCAGCCTCCAGTGACACCCTGGCTCTGTATTTCTGTAAATGTCAGGAGAGTGGCTGTGGGGTCCCCTGCTCCAGCAGGTACTGAGAGAGGTCTCAGTTAACTGTTCAACGAAAACTCCTACCAAACAGAGGTCTGCGAGCTTGCTCTGCTGAGGGTTGGAGCTTCCAGAAACACTGCTGCTATTTTTGTTTTCCTTGTGTAACCACAGGGAGGGATTATAGCCCTGCCAGCCTGAGATTTTCCTGCCTGGCTTTTTTTTTGTCCATGACATGTCGGGACTGGAAGGCAGCCATCGAGCTGCAGGTGCCTCGTTCCTGTCCCCTGACCCCCCGCCCAGTGGTCACCACAGGGACACACGCATGTCGGGAAGGCCCTGAAGTGCTGGGCCAGTTCTGTGGCCCCCAGCAGCAGGAGGACACGCTCCTGGGCTTACCTTGGCATTCAAACTTCTTGGCAGGCGTGGTGAGGAGCAGCTTGCCCTCCATGTCCGGGGGCCCAGCACAGCGGGCAATGCCTGGTTCCTTGTAGCCAGTCTTCACCCAGCTGGACAGCCAGCGGAGGTGGCAGTCACAGTACAGGGGGTTGGCACCAATGGCCCTGAGCAGAAAGCAGAGAGAAGCAGGCATTACAGCTTCATAGGATTCCTCACCCACTGGGAACCTCGGATCCCAGGCACTCCACCGGGGGCCGGCAAAAATCCGAGCCTTCTCCATTTCACATTTACTGTGTAGCCAGTGCTGTGGTGTTGTCGGTTTTTTTCTTTTTTTGAGATGGAGTCTCACTCTGTTGCCAGGCTGGTGTGCAATGGCGCGATCTTGGCTCACCGCAACCTCTACCTCCTGGGTTCAAGTGATTCTCCTGTCTCAGCCTCCCAGGTGGCTGGGATTACAGACACATGCCACCACACCTGGCTAATTTTTGTATTTTTAGTAGAGATGGGTTTCACCATATTGATCAGGCTGGTCTCGAACTCCTGACCTCAGGTGATCCACTCATCTCAGCCTCCCAAAATGCTAGAATTACAGGTGTAAGCCACCACACCCAGCCGCCGGTGCCGTTTTAAGCACTGCATACACACTGTCTCAGTCCTCAGCACACACGACTCTCCCCATTTCACATGTGCAGAAACCGAGGCTCACAAAGGCTGAGGATCAGACACAGAAACAGGGAGCTGGGACTTGAACCCAAGCTGTTGGGGCCAGAGCCTATGAATACCCTGCCTCCGGTGTGCACTGGGAGAAAGCAACCAATGTCAATCGCTGCAATGAGACAGCGACTTTCCCGTGTTTGTGCACCACATCACGTCATCAGCCCCGCTCTGCAAGTCTTCTCTCCATCTCAAAGACCTGGGTGCTGAGCCGCCCATGGAATAAGTAATTTCCCTGGGGTCACACAACTAGTGAAGGGCAGCGCCTGGATCCAGATGCGCTGCTGCCTGCCTCTGAAACCCATGCTCTTATTTTTCTTTTCCTTTTTAATTAAACAGAACACACGAATGCATTCTCATTGTCAGCCACTTTCAGACACTGCAGACAAAGCCAGCCTCCGCCTCGCACAATACCGTGAATGATTAAATGCCACTGAGTTGTACACTTTAAAAAAAAAAAAAGGTTAATTTGATATTATGTGAATTTCACCTCAATTTTTTTTGAAGGCACATTCCTGTGTTTCTGATGGGGGTGCAAAATGGTAGCGCCCCTATGGAGAAGATTGTGTGACACTTATCATGTGACTCACGCAGTTGCCTTCTGAGCCAGCCATTGTTTCTGGGCGTTTACCTGTAGGCACCTGTAAAGACATCTGTGCAATGGCCCTATTTGTAATAGAAAGACTGGAAACTCTCATGCTCATCAATGGGGAGTGGTCACATAAATTGTGATACATTCCTATTACAAAAATCAGAAGTCTACACCTCACTGTCACTGCCCTTCACAAGGGGACACACGGTTGCAGGGTCACCATGCTCTGGTGTGAGCCCTTTCAGGCCTTCCCCCCATGTACACACATGGTACCTCCTTACAAAGCATGGCTCTACTGAGCAGCTTTCTCCTTGTCACTAAACAGCACGCCTGGGGAATCTTCCCAGTTAGTATATAAGCATCCATCTCACTGTGTCCACTGTCCCACAATATCCCGAAGAGTGGATGCCCCGTGGCACCGTAAGCAGCGTCCCTGCTGCTGGACAGTCTGGTTGCTTCCAATGGCAGTGAACACTCGCACGTGCCTCTTTCTTTTTTTTTCCCCCTCAAGACAAGGTCTCGCTCTGTGGCCCAGGGGTGCAGTGGTACAGTCTCAGCTCACCACAACCTCTGCTTCCCAGGTTTGAGTGATTCTTATACCTTAGCCTCCTGAGTAGCTGGGATTACAGGTGTGCACTACCATGCCCAGCTTTTTTTTTTTTTTTTTTTTTTTTTTTTTTTTGTATTTTTAGTAGAGACGGGGTTTCACCATGTTGGCCAGGGTAGACTCAAATTTCTGGCCTTGAGTGATCCGCCCGCCTCAGCCTCACAAAGTGTTGGGATTACAGGTGTGAGCCACCGCGTCCGGCTCCTCTTTGTGAGGTATGAATATTTCTCTAGAACAGATGCCTAGAAGCAGGATTCAGACCGGCACACATGACCTAAAAGAGATGCCAAGGAAGGGGCTCAGGAAACAGCAGGTTCGACCTCGGCATGGGTTGAATTTTTGCTCCTTATTTGCTGACGGCATCCATCCTGGCTAACGGGATGGAAGATTTTTTCTGAAGCTCCGGTATATTTTAAAAAACAAAGACTTTTTAAGAAAACAGGAATTCAAAAATGGTGGCATATTTCAAATGCTTACACTCACCAGATGAGTATTTTTATACTAACAAAAAGCATGATGTCACATAAGTATGTTATTCAAAAGATAAATACACAATTTATTTAAAAGTATTTTTTACAGCACATGATAAGGAGTATGGCCTGGCAATGAGCCATGAGTTGAAGGGTGATTGGAATGCCTTCTTTCAGTCCTGTAGCTCATTTAGAGAAAAAGGCCGACAAGAGGAAATCTGAGACCCTGTGAATGTGTGGCCCGTGACGTGGCTTACGGTTCCCTCCGTAAGTGGCAGCACAGTGGCACCTGAGATTGTGTGCCGTCCCCTCTCTTCACCACAAAAAAGATGGTGCAAAGGCCCAGCTAAAGCGATTCAAAAATATGAATTCTGGACACACTCGCTTTTCCTTGTTCCTATACTGAACAGACTCTGAGCCACACCTGGATTCAACATCCCAAGCTTTCATTGATCCAAAGGCTGGATTTTTGTGGCTGAGGACCACCTTGCAGTCTCTTCAGTAATACTTGTAATTCACATTCATCTGGGGACCATTTCTCCTGACGAAAACTGCTGTGAACTCAGTGGAGCGTGCAGAGCCAAGGCCCGACGGAGATGTATTTGGGGGGCAGGGGTCGTTGGGCAGACAATGCAGCCAGCCCACGTCAATCCAGAAGGACTGCGGATTCAGGTTCACACCCCAGCCAAAGTATAAATAACCCTTGTTCTTGATCTCTGGCATAATATGGAAATAGTTGAAACAGTCGCTATTTGATCTGTTCATGCCAAGCCCCTTCCCAGTTCCTATTTATGTAACCTGGACTGAAATAGCCTCCCCTGGCTGCCTCACAAGTTGCAGAACCATCCACCCCACTCCCAGGCGATCTTTCTGTGTGCAATACTGTCTCCTGCATTTGAGGGCAGAGACCAGTAAGCTCCCAGCTGTGTCAGGCACTAGCAGGCACCAATGTCTGCTGAATGAATGAATGCCTGTCTAAAGCACAAGAAAAGCACAACATCTCAGTGCAAAGGAAATTCAAAAAGAAGAGAACCATCTATCATCCCATGAATGCAACTAATTTGATTTTAGTGTATTCCCTTCCATTTCCTGTGTATATGTTTGTCCATCAGAGTGTACTGTCTATTTTATTCTGAGTTTTCATCAACTAATAAATTATAGTGTTTACCAGGCACAGTGGCTCATGCCTGTAACCCCAGCACTTTGGGAGGCTGAGGCAGGTAGATCAATTAAGGTCCGGAGTTCGAGGCCAGCCTGGCCAACATGATGAAACTCTGTCTCTACTAAAAATACAAAAAATTAGCCAGGTATAGTGGCGACACCTATAATCCCAGCTCCTTGGGAGGCTGAGGCAGGGAGAATCGCTTGAACCCGGGAGGCGGGGGTTGCAGTGAGCTGAGACCACACCATTGCACTCCAGCCTGGGTGACAGAGCAAGACTTCATATGAAACAACAACAACAAAAAAACCAAAAACAAAAAACCAAAAAACAAAAACCCTCCACATTTTGAGCTGGAGTAAAGATGTACTTGGGTGTTATTTGGTTCTCACGAGAAAGGAGGAAAAGTAGCAAACTGCCCATCTCAACAGTTAAACCCTGAGTAGAAGAGAGACACTAAGGGCGGATGCAAAGGTATAAAATGTAGACCAGATGCTGAAAAGGCCCAGCCTGGCAAGGTGGACAGTGAAAGTGGACACTCGGCTATGCCCAGGGGTAAGCAACAAAAGCCCTGTGGTTCCAGGGTGGCAGCAGCCCCTGGTGCCCAGCAGAGACAAGCACAAACGCTCTCTGGAGAGGAGCATCTCCAGAGAATCTCCAGTTTAGGTCTTCAGAATTCCTCAAGATATGCTAGCAAAAATAAGCATGCAACCAAAAATTATCCAACACAGATGGAAACAAGCCCCTGTGAATTCAAGAGAGGAGGAACAATAAACAACACTGTCCCCACCCGGCCTACGTCCAGAGCCACCACCTCCAACAGGGCTCACTCTTGCCTCCTCCCATCCCACTCACCTTCTGCATGCCACTGTGGGCTTATGGGCTTCCCAGGAGTTTCCTACAACTCAATTCTCCACAATTCCCTTTCTATATACAATGAGGTCCGAACTCCTCAGCAGACACAAACAGCCCTTCACAACAGAATTCCAGTGTCCAATTTCCAGATCCGTCTCTTCCCACCCCACATTCTTTCCCTAGCCAAACATCCTTTATCCTATCCTGGACAGCGCAGCATCCCTGAACACGCCCTTTGCTGGCTTTCATGTCTTTGTGCGTGCTCTTCCCTCTTTCTAGAATTCCTTTCCTCACTTTCTCCAGCTGGCTAACTCCCAGTTCCTCTCCAACGGCAGCATAAATGGGACCTCCCCTGTGAAGGCCCTTGGAGTTGCCCAGAGTTAGTCACTGCTTCCTTTGAATTCTCTTTATAAGATCCCAAATGGTCACAGTGGGCAGAAACCTTGTGTTAGTAAATTCTTCAGCATTAGAGTCACTCTGGTTACCTGGGATGTATTTATTAAGGTAATAAAGCAAAGAATAAATTAAGAACTTTGGAATCAGATGCACCTAAATTCAAATCCTAGGGAAGCTGCCTACCTTTTTTTTTTTTGAGGAGTCTCACTTCGTCTTCCAGGCTGGAGTGCAGTGGCGTAATATTGGCTCACCGCACCCTCTGCCTCTGAGATTCAAGTGATTCTCCTGCCTCAGCCTCCCAAGTAACTGAGACTACAGGCACATGCCACCATGCCCAGCTAATTTTTTGTATTTTTTTTTTTTTTTTTTTTTTTGAGATGGAGTTTTGCCCTTGTTACCCAGGCTGGAGTGCAATGGCGCGATCTCGGCTCACCGCAACCTCCGCCTCCTGGGTTCAGGCAATTCTCCTGCCTCAGCCTCCTGAGTAGCTGGGATTACAGGCACGTGCCACCATGCCCAGCTAATTTTTTGCACTTTTAGTAGAGACGGGGTTTCACCATGTTGACCAGGATGGTCTCGATCTCTCGACCTCGTGATCCACCCGCCTCGGCCTCCCAAAGTGCTGGGATTACAGGCTTGAGCCACCGCGCCCGGCCCAATTTTTTGTATTTTTAGTAGAGACGGTGTTTCATTGTGTTAGCCAGGATGGTCTCGATCTCCTGACCTTCTGGATCTACCTGGCTCAGCCTCCCAAAGTGCTGGGATTACAAGCATGAACCACTGTGCCCGGCCAGAAGCTGCCTAAATTTTTAGAACCTAGGACTGTAAAATGAAAATAATAAATCAAATCCTACCACCTGGGGCAAAGCCCCTTCCCCCTCCCACTGCCATGGCAGACATTACAAATCAATCACTGCACCCCTCCTACTGAGTCCAGGCCCAGCCCTGGAATCTTCAGCTGGGTCTTCAAGGGAGTCCCTGCCAATCATGTGGAGCTGGTGCGTAACAAAAAACCCACTTCCCAATTCAGTCATGGGGTAAACAAGACCTCACAGATTAAGCACAGAGTACAGTATTTGATTCAGGGAGATCCTCAAAGAGCAGCACCCATTACTATTTTATTTCTTGAAGTCTAAGACTGATGAATTACTGATTTAACATGCTTTCAGAGAGATGGGGAACATTACCGTATTAAATATACACTCTGGTTTGTAGAAAAGGTGAGTCTTAGAACTAAGAAAATCTAGTGAGACTGATGAGTGAATGAACTTCAAGAAGAGTGTCTGGGGGCCCCAAAGCTCTCCAGCCTGGGTGTGCCTGCCCACCAGGCCCTTTTGGGGCTTGAGGATGGGGCTGAGAGCCAAAGGAGACAGTTGAACCTGGGGTCCCGGGCATAGTCCACCTGGCCACAGTTCCCCAACCCTGCCTCGGCCAGGAGAGAATGTGCCTGCTCGGTGCCCAACCCAACCTCCAGAATTAGGATGGCCCTGTCACAGCCCGGTGCTTCTTGACTTCATCAATTTCTTAATAAGGCAAAATATAAATATAATATGAAATTTGCCACTTTCACCATTTTAAGTGTACAATTTAGTGCCATTGATTGAACAGTGGTGTACAACCTCACCACTACCTACTTCCAAAGCATTTTCATCACCCCAAACAGAACTCTGTGCTCATTAAATACCAAGTCCCCACGGCCCTGCCTCCAGCTCCTGGCATCCACCATTCTACTTCTGGTCTCCATGAATTCGGCTGTTCTAGGTACATCACATACGCGGAATCATACGATAGTCATCCTCGTGTGTCTGGCTTCTTCCACCTAACACAATGCCTTCAAGATTCATCCATGTGGTAGCACCCATCAGAACGTCATCATTTTATGGCTAATGCCCCATTGCACGTGCTGCATTCTGTTTATCATCTGTGGACCCAGGCTGTTTCCACTTTGGGGTTATTGTGGATCCCGCTGTGGCGAACACTGGGGTACACATGTTCTTTTGGATATACCCCTTAGAGTGGACTGCTGGGTTATATGGTAATCCTATGTTGAGTTTTTTGAGGAATCAAGCCCACTACTTTGAAAGAATTTTCATAGCGCTGCCAGCTACAAGGTTTTGGAAGTAATTCTACATCGAACTACAGCACCTATCGGAGGTAGTGAATTCCAGAGCTTAATCTCCCACCGTGTGAAGCCAGAGGCGCAGTCCGGTGGGAGCGCTGCGGAGAATTGGCCTAGGAGTCAGAAACCCCAGCACCCGCCGCTGTGCAGCTTCGGGCAAGTGTCTCACTTTTTCTCCATCCACTTCCTGGTGTGAGAGATGAGAACCACGGTACCTACGTTGCAGGATCACTGCAAGGAGCACATGAGCTGAGGCAGAAAGTCCACAGCAACCGACCAGTGGTCATTAGAACCTTCCCTACTGCTCGCAAGGAACTTTCTGCTCTGTTGCTGTGGCTGATCAACCACTGGACACGCGAGTCCCAGAAGGTGCACATGGGAAGTGCACAAGCTTAATTTCAGGATAAAAGCAACAAATTCTGACACAGTCTCAGGAGGTGGGGTCTTCCTGTCGAAATCCAAAGAGGCCCAGAGAATGGGGCTGGAGTACTCACAGGTGAGACAGGGAGGTCACGTCTGCGAAGATCCCCTCTCGGAGGGTGGAGATGTCATTGCCATGGAGGGACCTGAGAAGAGAAGAGGCTGCTGGTGCCTCATCGAGGGACAGCAATGGGAGAGCTGCTGGAGGGAGAGGCCCAGCCCTCTGCAGAGAGGGGACAGGCCGCGCCTACCCTCCAGGCCTCTCGGCCAGTGCCCCGAGGGAGATGGCTCCCAGCTCAGAGACCCTGCCCCACTGGCCACAGGGAAGGAACCCTGCAGGTGGACCACCTGTCCCCTAGCCCTTAGGAGGACTGAAACACCGTGTTTCTATTACAAACAGGACCCATGTGCCCAGAGCCTTCCCTCTTCAGCAGAGGAGCCTAAGCAGGAGGGGCTGCTTCTTAGGAAGGAAGTTAAGAAGGTCAGCCACAGGTAGGGCTGGGAGAATGTCACCTTGCCCCGGTGGGCTGACAGGCCATCCTAATGGATGGACTGAGGCCTTTGACCGCAAGGCAAAACCTCACAGCAAGAACTCATAGAAAAGGTTCCCAAATCTCTTGTAAACAAACATTTTTCAACCTGAACAGAAGTCTCCTATGCAAATGAAGGGCCGCCTTATCTTGGATGTCCCCCTACCACCACAAACCCATCTTGGCGGTGACAGCAACCCGTATCTCTCACATCATTTCCCACGCACACCCCAGCTTCTTGGGAATGAGAGTATCCACAGGGGCTTAAAGTGACAGCGCCCTGGACTCCACCACGGCACAGCATGGGCCCTAGACATGGGGACATTTCTGCCCACCAGGTGGGTGGCAGGACCCTGGGTGGGGGGCAGATTTCCTGGCGGGACGGCGAGTGAGGAGACTTACAGCAGCCGCAAGGAGCGGAGTCCCTGGAAGGCCAGTGGCGGAATGCACTGCAGGGCATTGTAGCTGAGGATCCTGCAGAGGAAGAAGGGCACCGTGTGGGCGCCTGGCCCCTCGGGCTCAGCTGCTGCCCAGGATGTGCAGGCCCCTCTCACCCAGCAGCCTCCTCATGCTCTGTGAAGGGAGGCAGCACAGCCGGCAAGCGCATGGGCTGGGCCCTAAGAAACTGGTGGCCTTGAGCATGCCCGTAAACCCCTTCTGCCTCAATCAGTTCCCTTGGCTGTGAAATAGGAACAAAAATAATGCCAACTTGATAGGGCTGTCCTGGGGGCCAAATCCAGGTGAGGCTCTAATAAACCCTCAACAAAGCAGAGTTGCTATTGCTATGTCTGACAACATTCCCTAAGGGGCTGCCCCAGCAAGGCGCATAGGCGAGTTCACGATGAAGGTGGCACCTGACCAGGACCTGCCTGCAGGGAGCTCACTGTCTCAGCCGACCACTTCCAGGGTGGACAGGTAAAGTCATCTACAATAATTTACTACTGAAAAGCTGTGACAGTGAGAAAGGTGCTGTTACTACTCCCATCTTACAGATGAGGAGACTGAGGCCCTGAGAGGTGAAAGAACTTCTCCAGGGTCACATTATTAAGTTATTAAGAAGGGGCCAGGTGTGGTGGCTCAAGCCTGTAATCCCAGCACTTTGGGAGGCTGAGGTGGGTGGATCACCTGAGGTCAGGAGATCGAGACCAGCCTGGCCAATATGGCAAAACCCTGTCTCTACTAAAAATACAAATGTAAGCCAGGCATGGTGGTACATGCCTGTAATCCCAGCTACTCTGCTGGGAGGCTGAGGCTGGGGAATTGCTTGAATCCACCAGGTGGAGGTTGCAGTGAGCCAAAACCTCGCCACTGCACTCCAGCCTGGGCAACAAGCGAGACTCCATCTCAAAAAAAAAAATTTACTAAGAAGGGATTTTCATTATAGCTTTCAGTTTCCAGAACCCACAGGCTAAGCCACTGTCCCAAAATGCTTCTAAGTAATTGAATCCATCCATGGCAGATAGACAGATTAAGAGGAGAAATCATACTTGCAATAGCTCCATGCTGGAAACAACCCCCTTGTCCCCCAGTAGATGAGTGGGTGAGCGCACGGCAGCACAGCCGCCCCGGTGCAGTGGAACGCTGCTCAGCTACGAAAGAGAGCTTCCGGCACACGCACCACCACCGCACCATGGATGAATCTCAAAGTCATCACGCTGGCTGCCGAAGCCAAGCAAAACCAAGTCTTTCCGTTTGTGTGTAAAACGCTAGAAAATGCCAATATTAGCCAGACAAGGTGGCAGGCGCCTGTAATCCCAGCTACTCGGGAGGCTGAGGCAGGGGAATCACTTGAATCCAGCAGTGAGCCTCCCACTGCTTTCTATAGTGACAGAAAGCAGATCAGTGGATGCCTGGGTCTCGGAGCTGGGAGAGGCAGGAGCAGGGGATTATCAAGGATAGCACTTTTTTGTTCTTTTTTTTTTTTTTTTTAAGACAGGGTCTAGCTCTGTCACCCAGGATGGAGTGCAGTGGTGTGATCTTGGCTCGGTGCAACCTGTGCCCCCCAGGCTCAAACCATCCTTCTGCCTCAGCCTCCTAAGTATCTGGGACCACAGATGTGCACCACCATGCCTGGCTAATTTTTTGTATTTTGTATTTTGGCTTGGGCTCACATCCTGCTTCTGGAGACTGGCTGGGTCAGGGCCCTTCCTTTCTTGGGTACCGGCTCTACTGTTCCATCTGTAAAACGAGGTGTTGGAAGGTGAATGGGGTTTCACATGTTACCTAGGCTGGTCTCAAACTCCTGACCTCAAGTGATCCATCCAACTCTGTCTCCCAAAGTGCTAGGATTAGAGGCATGAGCCACCATGACAGGCTGAGTGCTCTTAGTTTCTTGTTTGTTTCTTGAGACTGAGCCTTGCTCTGTCGCTAGGCTGGAGTGGCTGGCTAATTTTTGTATTTTTGGTAGAGCCGGGGTTTTACCATTTTGGTCAGGCAGGTCTTGAACTCCTGACCTCAAGTAATCTGCCCGCCTCTGCCTCCCACAGTGCTGGATTACAGGCATGAATCACCACACCCTGCCGAGAGCTCTTAATTTTTGACCTGGTATCTACACGTGTGCTAGCTTTTTGATTATTTGTTAAACTGCACCTTTAATATTTTTGCATTATTATTTTCCGTATATACCATATGTTGTAGTTCACAATGAAAGATGTTTTCTGAAAGTCTTTCAGGCTCTCAGGCCCAGTACCCTCTCCAGCGGGCACAGTGTCTGCACTGGATCGGGGAGCAATGCACAGCATAGGCTGGAGCTGAGGAATGACTCACAGCCGTGGCCCCACAGCCCTGTGGCTCCCCACCCAAGCCCTGCTGGGACTCACAGAGTGGTCAGCTGGCTCATGTTGGTGAAGGAGGAATTGCTTAAGGAACTGATCTTGTTGTTGCTCAAGTCCCTGGAAAAGGCAAAGGCATCATGGTTTAGAAAGAACTCATTCAGCCCTGGCTCATGGTCATGGGCTTCTTCCCCTCCCCCACTCTGCCCAGGGCCATTCCCCAGCCAGGTTAACCAGGGGTGGAGAGGAGCCCAGGTGCACAGCCTTGGCTCACTGCTCTTGCTTAGCTACAGCCCTGCACTGCTCCCTCAGCTCCCTCGGGTACCAGGGCTCGGCTTCTCCATTTCCTGACCCCTACCCCACCCTTCTGTGGGCAGAGTCTGGCTCTGCCCCTTTTCGCCATTGGAACACTCCCATCAGGGTGTTGGTGGCCTCTGGACCAGATCCAGGCAGATTAAGAAGGGAAATCACACTTGCAATAGCTCCATGCTGGAAACAACCCCTGTGTCCCCCAGCAGATGAATGGATGGGCAAACCGTGGCACAGCCACCCTGGCACAGTGGAACACTGCTCAGTTACAAAAAAGCTTCCGGCACACGCAACACCACCACACCACTCCTTTCTCTCCTGCCAGGACCTTAGCCGGGCTGGTTCAGGACCCCTCCCTACGAGGCAGTCCTGTGAGGGAGAAGGCAGCTCCATTTCACAAAGACCCAGAGTCTCAGGGATCTGTGACTCCCGAAGGGTCACCAGCTGGTTGGAGGCAGAGGCAGATTCAAAGCCAGTCCACCAGCCCCAAGCCCAGGCTGCTGCCATGGCCCCTCCAAGTCACCTGTGGCATCTGGCACAACTGACCACCTTCCTCTTCTCAAAACTCCAGCCACCCTTGTGCCTCCATTCCTGACCGTCTTCGGGGGTCTTTGGCTGTGCCTCTGTCTCTGCTAGAAGCTTCTCTCATACTCAGCCAAGAGCCATGGGGATCGCTAAGCCCCATCTGCGCCCCATTTAGTCCAATCTGGGTGCCATCGGGGACACCCCTGTGCTGATGGTGCCCCCCTCCCCCGTAGTCCCAGCCTGTCCTCTCATGAACTCCTCCGCCCGATGCCCACACTCAAACTCCGTCCATATCTTGCATTCCCTCCCACACCCCATTCCCCAAGCTCCAGCTCCAGCAACGCCGCCTGCCCACACATCCGCCCTCTCATCCCAACCATCTGATCCACCCCTGGCTGGTGGCCCTGGTCATCTTTCGCTGTCCTCCTTTTCCTCTTGAGCCAGCGTTCTCTCCCTCCTGGTTCCTTCCTGGGATTCTGCCCTCATCTCTCACCCACTGCTTTGCCCCTTTTGATCCATCTGCCACGCAGGTGGCACCAGAGCAGTCTATGACGCACAGCTGATGAGGCCACTTCCCCACCAAAACACCACAGTGGTGCCCACGTGCCAAGCATATGGACTCCAGGCCCTCTGCTGGCCACCTCTCTGTGCTCCTGGGTGCAGCCTCTGCTCCTCCCTCCCTCTGCTCCCCACCCCCCAGGCTTCCCGGGCTTGGGATTCACCATGTTTCTTGAAGTCCTCTGAGCAGACCACACTCTGTGCTCCCGGACAGCTTGCTCCCTCTGCCCACCAGTGAACTCCAACTCGTGTTCCAAGACTTCCTCTCCCCAACCCCTCCCTGAGTTTATCACATCCTCCTCCAGCTGCACTCCTAATCACCACTGACCTCTGTTGGAAGCCTTATCACCCACTCTCCCCTTATCACCCACATTCTCCCTAATCCATGACAGTCTGGAGAGGGGGCCGCAACTTCAGGGACTTCACAGTTGCCCACCTCAGGCACTCTTGGCTCAGGAAACACTTAGAAGATGCAACGATGTGCCCTGCCTTCACCTCCTCCTCCTGAACTTTCTTCTAATCCGATTCCAAGCCATCCCCCTGTCTTTGGAGATATAGTTAAGTGCTCTACTGAATGTTCAACACACTTTCCCTGTGATGAGGAGGTGTCACTTCAGCCCCCAAGAGGCAGTTTCCCAGGAAGAACTCGCTCGACATGAGTCCTCTTTCCTCTCCTTGCCTCCTCAAGCGTGTCTGAGCCGCTAGTGGAGCTGTTTCAGGTTAGACCAAAGAAGGGCCGGGGAACTTGCTGTATCCTCTTTCTTTGGCACTGTCACCAGCCACTGAATCACACCCACTCCACCCCCTCTCCACGCCTCCCACTGGAGCATTCAACACACACTGACCAGGTCATTAAGAAAAGACAGATAAATTGGAGATTCCAAACCCTGTAAGCCAGACCACCCAAAGTACCCAGTCCTTGAACTAACTTTCACCAGCCCACAATAAGAAACTTGGGCCAAGATGCGGTCACCATGCATAGCTTCGTTTAGCTAACATGATTTTCATAGCAAGACTTTCTCAACGGAGGAGGCAATACATTGATTTAGATTCTGGTGTAAGTGCCTCGTGTAATTACAGACCCATTACGAACAGTTCTGGGACTGACGGGGGCCCACAGAATGCATTTGGAGTGCACTGCTCTGGGCTTCTTTTTGGTAGAATCTGGCCCAGGAGCAGATAAAGACAATCAAAGTGAGGAGCTAAATAGGCTGGAAGACTAAAAGGAGCTGAACTGATTATCCCAAGGCTTATTTTGTATATCTCCATGGAGTGGGAAGGGTCAAAGGTGGAAATCACAGAAAAGCAGAGGTTAGCCTAAAGAAAACCTAGTTACAGGTATGTATTTGTAGCTGCCATCGTTCCTATTTGGTTTGAGAGCTGAGCTGGACCGAGAAGTCTTCCATCACCCTCTGTTTCTCCTGGCGCCTAACCTGGCAAGGATAACCCCTCTTAACAGAAACAACCAGCCTCAAGGAGCTTTGGGGAGATGCGTGGGCAGGAAGAGGAGGCAGGTCCAGCCCAACAAGGCCCAGAACTATGCAATTGCTAATCGTGGCCACTAGGTGGCAAAACAGCTCTAGGCACACAGAGGGGACGCGGACGGGGACGGGGATGGGGGAAGAAGGGGAAGACGGGGAAGGAAAAAAAGCGGGATCTGCCCAGAAGTGAGGTCTGTCGGAAATTCCAGGAAGCTGGAGTTCTGATGGTCAGATGCCAAAAGCCCTCCTGCCCTCAAGCGGCCTGGATACTCACACGAGCTGCAGGTACTTGAAGGTAGACAGCTGTCCTGGAACCAGCGTGAACTGGTTCCCGTCCAAATACCTGCAGAGAGAGCACAGCGGCGTTAGTGCCCATCGCCACCTCTGGCAGTGCCCCACGCGGAGGACAGCCTTCCCCACACAGGGACTTCGCGCTCACGTCCTCTCCTACGCATAGGCCACATGATGGGCCGTAAGCCATTCTGGAGTCGCTTATAAGAGGAGAAAATATGTACGTTGTTGGGGTCACGTGGTAGGTGCCACCCAGAGGACTTGGGAAAAGCCAAGAGACACGTGGCCTCTCTCGGTTCCCTTCCCGCTTCCCTTCTCACCCTCCCAGCCTCCGCCTTATCCACAGACACTCCCCTGGCCTGCCCTCCCCTCCTACTCTGCTCCTTCCTGGCTAAATGGATCTGATTTGCACATTGCTACCCCACCAGCTCCTAGGGCCCCCTCTCCACCTGCTGGTGTGGGCTCTGAGACTGGTTCCGATCCAGACCGTCCAACTAGTTTCCCCTCATTCTAACAGTACCCCTCGGCCTTCCTGCCGTCCAGACTCTGCGCCCCGATGCTGCTTCTCCACCTCCCTCTGCCGCCGGTGCTGCCGCTGCTCTCTCGCAGTTAGCTTTTGTTGCGCTCTCTCGCCACCCGCCGACCATGCCTGGGCGCCTGCGGCAGCCTCTTCGGTCTGTTCTCTGTACCTTGGACCTCCCCTCTGGCCTCCATTCTACACACCGCTATCCAAGTCACTGTCCTTAAAACCAAGTCCACCAAAGCCCTCCTAAGACGAAAGCTTCCCAAGGTTCCCATTGCTACAGGACAGAGCTTGGGATTCAAGATGCTCTGAATCTCCCCCTCTTCCCTTCATCACTGACCACCCGTTCATGCCTCCAGCCTGGTGGTTGCTGAGCGGTGGCCCAATGCCACCAGCTGAGCCAAGCTGGGCTCCAGCACCGGACCTCCCCCCCAATAACTGCAGCCTGCAGGACAGCTCTCCCCCACTTCCCAGAGCCCCAGAGAGCAGCCAAAGCAGGGCTGTGTCAGCCTTACCCCTGCATGGCTTCATACAAACTGATTTCCCACCCATCTCGTTTGATCCTTGAAGCAGTCCTTGTCCACATACCCAAGTAGTCCCATTTCACAGATGACAGAACTGAGGTTTAGAGAAGTTAAAAGATTTTCACAGGCTCTGAACTTCAGCATCCACTGTCAAAGGAGGTAGGCTGCCCCACCCATCCCATTCTTCTCAGGGCTGCTAGGAGGCTCCAAGGAGGAAACAGGGACTCACGAGGTCTGCAGAGCACTAACTCTGCAGTGGGAAACGGGGTGAAGATGGGGCAGGCCAGGTGCAGGGAAAGGCCCATGTGGTTGATGCGCTTGTGAAGAAAAGGTCAGCCTTGCTGGTAATGCAAGAAATAAATGAAAACCTCATCGCTGGTCCCGGCGGTGCAGGGAGAAGAGCTCAGCTTTGGAGGCCTGGAGGGCTGAACCCCAGAGGACAGGAAGAGCTCAGAGGTCAGGAGCCGGCCAGAGCCTTTTGCTGGGAGGTGTTTGCTGAAGAGATCCCAGCTTCCCATCCATTTGTCATCTGCATCTACGTCCATCCTCCACATGTGCTCAGATACCAAATACAAATCAACTAGGATTTCAGCACCACCATCCTCAGTGCTGACCAGGGAGGCAAGAAGGCCACCTCCTCACATGGTCGGCGGGAGTGCAAAGGAAACAGATTTTCTGGGAAGACCATCAGGAAAAAGCAGCGAGAGTCCTAAAAACACACCACTCTTCGCCCAGCGATTTCAGTGAAGGGTGTTCACACTGGTGCTATTTATGACAGTAAAAAAAAAAAAAAAAAATGGAAATGACTTAAATTTCCAACAAAAGAGGGGTTGTTATCCGGATCCTGGTAGATTCATGTGAAGAACATTATGCTGCTGGTACAAAAATCACGTTTGTACGTCTTCCTGACACAGGAGAGTGCTCCGAGAGACCAGGGCAGGTGGGAAGGCAAGGCGTCTTCTTTATTTTAAAGGCAGAACTTAAAGGGAGGAAGCACTCCCCCATCATTCAGTCATCAGGTGACCACAGAGGGGGATTAAAGAGAAACTCAAAGCCTTCCTAGCTAATGCCTGCTCTTGGTCACCTCCTCCTCTGGCTGCCAGGCCCCAGCCCCTCGGGAAATGCCCCCACTGCCCCCGTCTGGTGGACCCAGTGAAGGGGCGAGGCCTGGACTACTCACAGTTCTGTGACGTTCTTGGGGACACCCCTGGGCAGGGCCCGCAGGTGCTTGTTGCTGCATCGGACCACGGTGTCCAGGCAGGCGCACTCCTGTGGGCACTGCGGGCGGGGCAGGCAGCCCCCCTCCTCCTGGCCTGGGGAAGAAGGCACAGAGCCCCCGTCAGGGAGGGGGCCGAGCTGCCGTAAGGCCTCCTACAGTCAGGGCCATGTTCTGGGGCCACTCAAAACAGAAGACCCTTCTGACAGTACCTCGGCCACCAGTAAGTCTCTGCACCACACCTCCCCGCCAGGCACCACCCCCACCAGGGACGAAGCCCCGCGGAGCAGTTTTGAGGTTAAAATAGGTCTTGAGTTGATCTCTTCCTGCTCAAACTCAAAGTGGACCTGGTCAAAGCAGAGCTGGAGGATGGCCCCACACCATCCTGTCCTGGAGTGCCTGCTACTCCAGGTGCTGGATCGACATCATCTCCTTAACAGCGCAGGCAAGGGCGCAGCGTCGGCCCTAGAATGCAGGCGTGTGGAGGACAGAGGCCTGGGCCTCTTTTCTTCTCTTTGTTCACTGACAGAGCCCAGCATCTGGCACACAGCAGCCTTCACAACAGAGGAGTTGAGTGAATGAATGAGCAAGTGGATGGATTTCCATTTCACTGAGATCCGAAGAGGTTAAGCAACTTGCTCGATTCATAAAGTTGGCCCAAGGCAATGCAGAGTCTGAGCCCAGGTCTGGCTGAAGCAAAATCTGAGCTCTCGTTCCACCGCCCTTCATTGATTCATTCATCTATTTAATAAATGTGAGCCTGCCTTTCTGCTGATTGGGTGTCAGAGGGATGATAATATCACACGGTCAGAGATCTTGAGGACACTAGTATGTAGGTGGCACACGCTCCCTGTGACAGGGACCATCAGTTACACAGGCCACCCGCGTGCAGGGCCTGAGTGACAAGGGTGAACCCACTGCATCCTCAGAACAGCTCTCTAGTGAATGTGTTACCATTAGCCCATTGGAGCAGCAAGGAAGCTAGGGGCAGAGTGTTCAGAGACTTGCCCCAGCCTGGAAGAGGTGGCACCAGGGCTGGAATCCAACCAAGCAGGCTGCCTCTAGAACCTGCTGCATTGACCACCACCCCTCAGCAGCAACATCTCAAAACTATTCACTTCCTCTCACCTCTAGGGAGCTGTTCTAAGGGGGAGTGGAAAATATACGTAGGGAGCATCTACAAGGGTGCTCCTGGCAGCATGATACATTGGAGCGGGACTAGGAGGTTGTCTGAACTCCCAGCAGCAGGGGACTGCTTACACCAATTGTAGTGCCTTCCAGACAGCGTCCATCCTGCTGAAACGTTTTCACAGGTGGCCCTGCAAGACCCTCTGTGTGCCACACTTGTGCACATGAGCAACAGCAAAGGTCTGGAAAGCCACACAGCGAATGTTGACAGGAGTCATCCAGTTGGGGCATGGGGGCCAGGGGGTGGTGGGCACATCAGTAATTTTTTCTTTTTTTGAGAGAGAGTCTCGCTCTGTTGCCCAGGCTGGAGTGCAACGGCACGATCTTGGCTCACTGCGACTTCCACCTCCTAGATTCTAATGATTCTCCTGCCTCAGCCTCCCAGATAGCTGGGACGACAGGCATGCACCACCGTGCCTGGCTAATTTTTGTATGTTTAGTAGAGACGGGGTTTCACCATGTTGCCCAAGCTGGTCTTGAACCTCAAGAGGTTCGCCTGCCTCAGCCTCCCAAAGTGCTGGGATTACAGGCTTGAGCCACCATGCCCAGCCTGTCAATAACTTTTTTTAGTCCTCCTTCTGGTTGCCTGTGGTTGTTACTGTTTTTAAGGAATACGGATGCATTTCTTTTGTAATAAGAATAATAAAAACAAACTGTTTCTTGGAAAAAAAAAAATAATGCTGCCAAAAGATAGTTAATGGCATGAGAAAATGCCCCAAAACATACAGTTAGGTTTTAAACAAATCAGAAATTTTTAAAAAGACTTGCAAGCTATTACTATATAAATTAATTAAATATATATGTGAATAGTATAGAGTCTTTTTTCAATTTTAGAAGTTGGAAGCAAAAGTGTTCTTAGAGAATTCATTAATTTTGTTTAGAAAAATAAACAACAGGCTGCGGCAGGTGGAGGGCGAGGAAGGGAGAGACCAGGGAGAAGGGAGGCACCTCAGCACCGAGAAGCGGAGAAGGGGGCTGGAAGCTGAGGACAGCCAGGGAGAAATTCCTCGCGGCAGGATGCTAGAGATGCTACGAACAGGATGGCTGCACTGAGAAAAATCTGCTTCCAGCAGTGACCTTGGGTGTTTGGTGCTGTGGGGAAAAAATGGGGGGGCGGGGCTACCCTGAGAAGTCATAGGAAACAGGGCATTGGAGCAAAAAATGACCAGGGCTTCCTACACACAGGGGAGGGGACTCAAAAGGGTTCCATTGCATAAGGTGACCCCATGAGTCTAGAGAACTTAGGGACAGCCGAAAGGCAAGTCTGAGTTAACCAAACATACAGAAACTGCACTAGGCCAGGCGCAGCGGCTCACCCCTGTAATCCCAGCACTTTGGGAGGCCGAGGTGGGCAGATCACCTGTGGTCAGGAGTTAAAGACCAGCCTGACCAACATGGAGAAACCCCATCTCTATGAAAAAATACAAAAACTAGCCAGACTTGGTGGCAAATGCCTGTAGTCCCAGGTACTCAGGAGGCTGAGGCAGGAGAATCACTTGAAGCTGGGAGATGGAGGTTGCCATGAGCTGAGATTGAGCCATTGCACTCCAGCCTGGGCAACAAGAGTGAATTTCTGTGAAAGAAAGAAAGAAAGAGAGAGAGAGAGAGAGAGAGAGAGAGAGAGAGAGAGAGAGAGAGAGAACTACACTAAAATGTGAACTGTTTTCTCTGAGTGACGGGATAATAGGTAAAGTTTATTTCCTTCTTTTATCCATATTTTCCCATTTTTCAATGATAGGAACTTTATTGCTCTTATAACCACACAAAGACACCACCAGGCAGGGGTGAATCCTCGCCTCTCCTGAACATAGGGCCTCCCTCCCCACCGAACCTCTCCTCTCAGGGGCATGCCGGGGGTGCTGCCTGCCCACCCCCATCCTCCTAACCTGCCCCACCCCACTGGTTGGACCTAGGGTGCCCTCTCCCTTGCCATTGGCGGGGGTGGGGGGGGGCATGAGTTACCTTCCTCACACCTGAAGTCAGGGAACGCCACGTCCTGCAGGGGAATCTGCCGCAAGAAGTCGGGGTTCTGGCAGCGAGGGTTCCCAGTCACGATCTTGCGCTTCCGCAGCCAGTCTCCCAGCCAGGCCAGCTGGCAGTTGCAGTTGAAAGGGTTGGCCAGGAGGTTCCTGAAAGAGGCAGGCCAGGTGGCCATGGAGACACCCTGTCCCTCAGCGGTGCCAGCAAAGCCCTCCTATCCGCCACAGCAGGATGTGCCACACTCTGGCCACATGGCATTCTGTCCCAGACCACCACCCATCACCAAGAGGACCAGCTCTCAGGACCAGAGGGAGATCTTGAAATGTGGAACCCAGTTTCAGCAAACCACGAAGACCCAGCATCCCCAGGCTGAGCTCTTTCAAAGTGGCTGGCTGAGAGGACCATGCCCTTGGGATGGCTGCTTCCAGAGCCCCTGCCCGCCTGTCCTGGGGGCTGGACTCACAGCGTGGAGAGGGACTGGAGGGTGTCAAAGGCCCCCGGGGACACGGTGGTGATCTGGTTGTCGTAGAGTGAGAGCAGCCGGACATTGCGCAGGCCCGTGAAGCTGTCATTGTGGATGCAGCTGATGCGGTTGTTCCGCAGCATCCTGGGGAGGAGGAGCAGGGAGGGAGGAGGGGGCCTTTGCTGGACCATGCAGCTTCGGCCACCGTGGCATATTCACAGTTCTCCTCCATAGGTGCTCAGCCACAGAGCCAGGAACACGTGCCAGGCAGGGCCCGGCCAGGTGAGGCAAGTTCTACACACCTATGCTCACTCCAGACTGCCCCTGCCTCTGAGCAGCTTCGAGGCTCTGTGTCCCTCTCTCCCTGCCACTGTCCTGGCCTCGCCCCCACGCGCTGCATGCCCAGGATTCCTACCAATCTTTAGGCCACACTCCACATCAGTGCCCAGGAGACTTTCTAAAACCAAATCCACATGTCACTCTCCAGCTTAAAGCCCACTCACAGCCTCCAAACTGTCCACAGAGTCATGTTCGAACTCCTTCCTGTGACCTGAGACCGTGTCCACCCGGACCCGGACCGTCTCAGCCCTGGCACCTGCCTGTCTCCCAAGAGATGGACCAGCCCTCAGCCTGCTGCTCTGCTGTGACAGCTTTCTAGAATACTCTTTTTTCTCATCTACATCTGGAAAAGCTGCCGTTCATCTTCAAAAACCCAGCTCAAGCCTGACGCAGTGGCTTGTTTTACATGCCTGTAAAAACCAGCACTTTGGGAGGCCAAGGATTACTTGAAACCAGGAGTATGAAACCAGCCTGGGCAATACAGTGAGACCTTGTCTGTACCAAAAAAACTAAAAATTAGCGAGGCATGGTGGTGTGCGCTTATTGTCCCAGCTGCTTGGGAGGCTAAGGTGGGAGGATCTGCTAAGCCCAGGAGTTCAAGGTTACGGTGAGCTAAGATGGCTCTACTGCACCCTGGCTGCCGGGGCGTCAGAGAGAGACCCTGGCTCCCTACACAACTGTAACAACAAAACCAGCTCAATTTCGCTCCTCAGTCAAAAGTAAAAACGAAAACCAAGCCAACACAGAATAGCTAACTCACAAAAGAAATTAAAATGTTTATCAACATTCATAGGTGTTCAGTGTTACTACTAATCAAAGACATCTCAGCAATATTGATTTTTTTTTGCTTGCCAAATTAAAAAAGAATGAAAGACATGATAATGAGAATAGTAATTATCATAATGACGTCCAGGACCCGTGAGAGTGAGTGACGGACACTTCCACACACTGGCGGGAGATGCCTTCGTACCTCCCTGGAAGTGCACTTGGTAAGATGTATCAAAATCCCTAAAAAGACACTTTATGTTTTCACCTGTCTACTCCATCTTTAGGAATTCCTAACAAGAGTTTAATCATGCATTATACATGAACTTCACAATAAAGATATTGTCACAGGCTGAATGTGTTCCCCTCCAGTTTCTATGTCTAAATCCTAATCCCCAATGTGTTGGGATTAGGATGGCGGGGGGTCTTTGGGAGGTGATGAGGTCATAAGGGTGGAGCCCTCATGAACAGAGTTAGCGCCCTTACCAAGGAGATCCCAGAGAGCTCTCTTGCCTTCTTTCGACCATGTGAGGACATCATGAGAAGTCAGAAGTGTGCAACCCCCAAGAGGGCCCTCACCAGAACCGTCCATGCAGGCACTCTGGTCTAAGATTTCAGACTCCAGAACTTCTGTTGTCTATAAACCTCCAGTCTATGGCATTTTGTTAAAGCAGCCTGAACCTCCTAAGGCAGGTATCAATACAACACATCTTATAATAAAAAAAAATTTAGAAACAGCCTATGTTGCCAATAATTATATAATACATAGTCATTCAAATTGATGCAGAATGTTTTTTATATTAGGAATTAAACGTGAAATGGAAAAAAATTTTAATATGTAATAGTGCTCCTATTAAGTTTAAGGAAAAAGCAGGTTACTAAATAAAATGTACTATTCCATTAGAATATTTCTGTATGCATGCGATGCATGTATGTATGTGTGTACATGTATGCGTATGCAGGTTTAGAGATATGTAAAAGACTGGAAAGACAGTTGTTTATATCAACAATTAACAGTGGTCATTTCTAGATAGTTATGGGGTATGGGCCCTTCTCTTCTCCTGTCCCTATCCAAATCTTCCTTTGAAAGAATGCAACTGACCGGACCCAATGGCTCATACCTGTAATCAGACTTTGGGAGGCTGAGGCGGATGAATCATGAGGTCAGGAGTTCAAGACCAGCCTGGCCAACACAGTGAAACCTCGTCTCTACTAAAGATACAAAAATTAGCAGGGTCTGATGGTGGATGCCTATAATCCCAGCTACTAGGGAGGCTGAGGCAGGAGAATGGCTTGACCCAGGAGGGAGAGGTAGCAGTGAGCCAAGATCACACCACTGCACTCCAGCCTCGGAGACAGAGCAAGATGAAAGAAAGAGAGAAAGAGAAAGAGAGAGTGCAAGAGAGAGAGAGAGATTGAGAGAGAGAGAGAGAGAAAGAGAGGGAGGGAGGGAGGGAGGGAGGGAGGGAGGGACTGCACAGCCTCATTCAAGGTGAGCATGAAGAAAAGTGAGGCAGTCCTATAGGAACAGCCTGGAAAGACGGCAATTCTATATTCACAGATGAAAACAGCAAGCTGCAAAACCCAGTGCATAATAAAATTCACTTTTTGTAAAATAAAGCAACAAAAATCCATAGGGAGTCCCGCCACACATTCATTTACCTTCTATATATTCCATGTTACGTGCTCAGAGACAAATCTATCCTGCTACAGATTTGGGACTTACACGCAGCCAAGTGGCTTCTAGAGCTGTGCACCATATTCTAGAGCATCCAATATAGTAGCCACTAGCCACATGTAGCTATTTAGATTTAAATGTATTAAAATAAAATGAAATTCAAAATTCAGTATCTCAGTAGCACTAGCCACATTTCAACCACTCCACAGCCACGCGAGGTGACAGGACTGGACAGCATAGACACGACACATTTCCATCTCTGTGGGAGGTCCGATGGACTGCCCTGCCTATGGGACACGCTGCACACCCGCAGGATCTGAAGAGCCAGCACTGCCTGGCAGATGGGGGGGATGTCCCGCATCATTCATGGAGGAGCGGATGACCCCAGGATCCCACTGAACTCCAGGGGTCTGCTCAGCTTAGGCTGGGCTCTGGGTTATGGGATCCCAGCATCTCAGGGACAGCGCAACACCCCTGCTCCCCCATCTACACCCACCGAGTCACCTTGGCAAGGTCATCCAGCCCCTCCTGCCTGCAGTAGCACCAGCCACTCCTGAACTCACGCTGTGCTCTTACAGCCTGGCCAGATGGTAATGGGAAGGGACCCCTAGGAGGGCCCACGTGTCTCCATCCCTTGATGCCAACCAGGCATGAGTCCCATGCCCCGGGGTACAAGAGAACAGGCCTCACCATAGAGTCGCCAACACTCGATGGCCTGTCCCAACACAGTCAGGATCCTCAGTTCTCCCCCGCCTCCTTCGAGCTGGGGCCAGGGGAGGGGCTCCTCCAGCTTCTGTCTCTTCCTCTCCCTTGGCCTCACCTACCTCCTGCAGCTGGCCCACCCTGCTCCCCAGCCCTGCACACTCACAGGGTCCTCAGGCCATCCAGACCCCGGAACATGCCGCTCCGGATGGACTCCAGCTGGTTGGCAGTCAGGTGCAGCTCACTCACAGAGGATGCACCCTCGAAGGTCCCGTCTTCAATTTCTGACACCTTGTTGTTGCTCAGGTTGCTGAGAGAAGAGGCAGTGGGGAGGATTACACATGGCCCAGACCCAGAGCTTCCTGCAGGCCACACCCCCATGCACAGAGCCCTGGCCCCCCAGCGGGGCTGCCCCCACCCCAGCAATTCCCTTCTCCATCCTGGGCCAGCATCCCGACAGACACCTTCCTGCCGGCGGGGAACTCACATTTTCTTCAGATGTGTAAGTTTTTTAAACATCCCAGTGGCCTCCAGGATGGAAATCTCATTGTTATTCAATCGCCTGTAAGAGGCAAGAATGAACTTACACATCCACAAATGATGGACATTTCTAAGCCCTTCCAAACTGAGAATATCTGGGACTCAAACACAGAAGACTCCCAGAAGAATTTATCTGGCAAAGCCAACTGATCCTATTTCAAAGGAAGGCTGGGCCTCGTACTGGGGAGGATATGAATGGGGATATTTTTAACATGAAAAATGCCATGAAAAATTTACAGACGTAAATGACAGATGCTTGCAGGCATCTATGCACATAGACATATGTGTAGACAAATTCATGTTTTTAGATAGAGGAATAAAAATAACAAAGGATTTTGGAATCATATCCCCAAGAAGAGAAATGCATCTTTGAGACAAGCCATCCCTGATTTAGGCTGGTGACCTGCCCCAAGTGCCAAAGGCTGGCATCTGCATTTGAGGGGTGAGGAGGGCTGTGAATGAAGCAAAGGGCAGCAGGATGGGGACTTCTCCCTGCCCAAGCCAAAGGGTGGCACGTCCTGAGCCAGAGGCTCCAGTGGTCCAGCCCCATCTGGGGAAAATCCGGGAGTAGGCCAAGGAGGGTTAGTGGCAGCTAGGGACAGGGGAGGGCTGGGGGTGGGTGGCTGGGGACCCTCACAGTTCAGCCGTGGACTGGGGGATGCGCTCGGGGATCTTGGTGAGCTTCAGGCTGGAGCACTCCACCATGTTGGCCTCACAGCGGCACTTGTGTGGACAGACCACGTCGCTGTTGCACTCGCTGTTCAGCTGGTAATCCTCCGTGCCTGCCATGAGAGGGCGGGGGCAGGGGCTGAGGGACCTGGGGCAGGCTCCCAGCAGTCCGGGCCAACCAGGGCCCCCAGCCTGCCCACCCACTCCCACCATCCCCACCAGGCTGGCCTTGGTATCCCCCACTCTCCTACCTGGAATGAAGTACTGCTCTTTGGCTGGGGAGAGAAGCAGAAATACCACAATGCAGGAATCAGCCAGGACCTGCAGGAGCAGCCCAGGCCCCAGCCCCACTGCTCAGTGGAAGGCACCCCAGACAGGGCTGAGGAGCCCATCTGCCCAGTCCCTGTGTGCAGAAGGGTGAGCTACAGAGCACACGTGTTCCTTTCCCAGGCTGATCCAATTAAACCTCTTGCAAGGATCGCCAAAACCATCGACCTCTCACTTACAATGGCACATGGTGGGGACTGTGCTAACTTTACAGATGGCATCAGATCCTTGACCAGGATCTAGGCTCAGAAGCTGCCCTGCACTGTGCCCAGCCAGATGCCATGGGGACTACAATTGCTGAGGTTGTTTCCGTGTTCCAAAGCCTGGAGGAGGCTCCTGTCTCACTGAGGTGGGTTCCCAAGCCTCCTGAGTGTCTTCAAAGGCGTGACACAGAGGCATAAAAGAGAACTGGCTGGAAGTGGAGGGACCCGAGTCCTCCCTCTGGGACCTTCGACAAGCCTTGCTTCTTCCCTAGGCCTCAACAAAATGAGGTGGGACTGAACTACCATTCAGATCAAGCCTAGAATTGTGGGCCCACGCCCTGCAGCCTGGGTTCACAGTAATGAAAGACACCTTTGTGAGAGCCATCCAGGAAACGTCACGGGGTCCCTGAGCAGGCTGAAGACAGACAGACAACCAGACAGGTAGATAGGCAGGCAGGCCAGTGGACAGGTGGACAGGCGGGCAGGTATGGAGGTAGGGAGGTAGGCAGGCGGGCAGGTGGGCAGGCGGATAGGTGAACAGGCGAGCAGGCAGGCAGATACCTGAGCATCGGAACTTCTTGCTCTTGATCTGCCCGATGCGCTTGTTGGCGAGGCGCCGGGGACTGGCACAGCGGGCCCCACTCGTCTCGATGGGATTGGTGCGCAGGAAGTCCGCCAGCCACTTGAGGTTACAGTCGCAAATGAAAGGGTTCTGGGCCAGGTGCCTGTCCGAAGCAGGCAGATCAGCTATGAGAGACAAGGGCTGCAAACCCACGCAGATCTCCACCTGGACAGGGCCCTGCTGTGGCTGGGGCCAAGGAGGCTGCCTGTGGTCTGGAGCCTAGGGTCTGCCACAGGGAGAAGGGGAGAGCAGGGTGAACCCGCAGGGTACAGCCCACCACTTCTGGAGGGGTCCTGCCAGTACACCACAGGGGAAAGGTCTCTGCCACCCAGAGCTTCCTACTGTCCCTGTTGTACTGCGCATCAAGTCTCATCCTGCCCCACCTCTTTCTACTCACCTTTACCTCCCTCTGCTCTGGGACATTTCATGAGCATGAGTGGAGAAAGGAAGGACCCAGAGACTTGCCCAAGCACCCCTGGCCTTTCATAGGCAAGGATGCCAAAGCCCAGAGAAGGTAACAAAACCCAGAACTGCTGGCACTCAGACCACAGCCTCTGACCCTCCCCAGCACCCATGGGCCCTGGTTTGTCCCCTTTCCTTCAGACTTGGGTAGCAGCCTGTCTCCTACAGAGAGGGATGGGGCCGGAGTGGCAAGGCCTGCTAGAGTCCCTGGGCTTTACCAGGAGTCACCATCCCCACTCAGGGCCACAGGAGTGACATTTCCTTGACCATTTTATGGCTGTCTCTTTACACAAAGAAACCTCAGAAACCATGACTAAGCAACCCCTTGCTGGGGAATCACTCATATTCTCTCACGAGCTGCCTGTGTGGTCAGCAGGATAAATGTGGGGATGGTGGCGGGCAGCAGATGGCAGCGATGGGTTGCTGTGAGCGACCCCACGGGGGCATGGCCATGGGTGGGCTCTGAGCTACCACAGCACTGGGCATGCCCTGCTCATGGCTGTCCAAACTGAGACAGCCTGGGAAGAGCGTGCCTACGCCTGTCCTGGCTCTGGAAAACTGCCTGAACCCAGGAAGACAGAGCAGCGGACCAACTCAAAGGGACCTGCCCTGCCATGTCCACTTTTCCTCCATCTAAGTCCCACCAGTTCAGGCCACCTGACACCGTTCTCAGCCCAGCCCCCTCCTAGGGGCTGCAGAACTCTCTAAGCGGAGGAGTAAACTGCCCAGAGTCTGTGCCCAGCTCAGCTCAGACCTTGGTGGTGCTCTCTGCTGTCCCTCACCTCCTGGGCTCTGCCCTCCGGCCCCCAGTTGGGAGCTGGGTCCCTGCCACCTCTCCTTCGCAGTGTCCTTCCCTATTTTCCCCCCTGAGTTCTGGCTCCTCTCAGCATTACCAGGTGGACCAGGCCCCGCCCACCTCTTCTGCATCCAGCTCAACATTTATTTCCCCTCTTAAACTGTCAGTTTGCACAGACAGGATGTGTTTGCTGATATCCTGGGGGCAGAGTTTGCAGCTAATTTAAAATATACCAGGATTTAAGGACGGCTTCTAGCTCCTCCCCAGCTGCCCATCCACACCTGACTGTGCCTTAGTGCCCCAGCCCCTGCAGGAACCAATTGCTTCTCTTTATTACCATCTTGGTGGAAAACTGTGTAAAGTCATCCCAATTGTGTTGCTTAGGCGTGTATTAAAACATTCAAGGTGTGTGGTGTAGAGTATCTCCTTTCTAAAAACAGGCTGTGTCAAAAACCTATAAAACTTGAACCACCCACAGAGACAGGTGGCTTCTGTATAAACTTTAATATGTTACACAAATTAGAATTTTTAACAGTTTCAAAGGGCAGGAAGCTAGAAAGGGAAACACTCAGGAGGAAGAAAAAAATCCATTTAGGAAAAAACAATCATGTTAAAGAAACACCCAAAAACTGCGCTGCGTATGAGGCCACACATCTGCCTCCGTGAACGTTTCTGGCAGCGGAAAGAAAGGAAGAGAGGACTAATTCTCAGTGTCTTTCTAGATTCACGCATTAAGGAGTCACAGCTCTTTGGAGGCAAAGGCTCAAGATCATTAGTCGTTAGGGAAATGCAAATTAAAACCACAGTGAGATACCACTTCACACCCACTAGGATGGCTAGAATCAAAATGCAAAAAGAAAAAAAGACAAACAATACCAAGTGTTGGTGAGGATGAGAATGAGAGAAATTTTGAGCCCTCATCATGCACCATTGGAGGGAATGTACAACAGTATGGCCATTTTGGGAAACACTGGCAGTTTCTTTTAAAAAGTTAAACATTAATTTACCATATAAATCAGAAATTCCAAAAGAAATGATAATGTTGGTCCACACAAAGATTTGTGAGTGAATAGTCACAGTAGCATTGTTCATAATGTCCCTAAAGTGGAAACCACTCCAAATGTCCATCACCTAGAATGGACAAGCAAATTGTGGTCTATTTACACAATGGAAAAATTATTTGGTGATGAAAAGGAATGAAGTACTGATACATGTTGCAATATGAGTGAGCCTCAAAACCATTATGCTAAAGATAGAAGTCAGTCACAAAAGATGGCATATTACATGATTTCATTTGTTTGTTTTTTTGAGTTAGGGTCTCACACTGTCACCCAGCCTAAGTGCGGTGCTACAATCAGCTCACTGCATCCTTGAACTCCTGGGCTCAAGGAATCCTCCCACCTCAGCCTCTTGAATACTTGGGACCACAGGCATGCACCACCACACCTAGTTAATTTTTAAGAATTCTGTGTAGAGATGGGGATCTCGCTATGTTATCCAGGCTAGTCTGAAAATCCTGGCCTCAGGCAATTCACCCACCTCAGCCTCCCAAAGCACTGGGATTTTTTTTTTTTTTTTTTTTTTTTAAGACGGAGTTTCACTCTTGTTACCCAGGCTGGAGTGCAATGGTGCGATCTCGGCTCACTGCAACCTCCTGCCTCCTGGGTTCAGGCAATTCTCCTGCCTCAGCCTCCTGAGTAGCTGGGATTACAGGCACGCTGCCACCATGCCCAGCTAATTTTTTGTATTTTTAGTAGAGACGGGGTTTCACCATGTTGACCAGGTTGGTCTCGATCTCTTGACCTCGTGATCCACCTGCCTCGGCCTCCCCAAGTGCTGGGATTACAGGCTTGAGCCACCGCGCCCGGCCAGCACTGGAATTATTACAGGTGTGAGCCACTGACTGCACCTGGCCTGTATGATTCCATTTTAATGAAAGGTATAGAAAAGCCAATCTACAGAGAAAGAAACATAGATCAGTGATGGCCAGCAGCTGAGTCTGGAAATGGAGACAAGGGATTTGGAAAGGAAGGTGATGGAAACGTTCTAAAGTTGAATTGCAGTGATAGTTGAACTCTGGAAATTTACTAAAAATCATTGAATTGTACACTTAGAACAGGTGAACTTTATGGTATGCAAGTTATACCTCAATAGAGATGCTTCTCTCTCTCTTTTTTAATGTTAAATCTCTTGGGGTAAGTAAAACGGCAGCAAAGTCAATACTGTTACACAAGCACTTGGCCACAGATCTTGGAGCTATGGACAAATCAAACATGATTTGGTAAATTTAAATATGCTCAGGTTTAATAAAATAAGACTCAGTCAAGGAGCTGAACCACCTAAGGTTGTAATAATAGTACCTGATAGTACCTTGGATTTACATTTCTTTTATTCTTGTTCCAAACTGTAATTCAGTTGTTAACATCTAATATATGTGCATGGAAGTTCAGTTTTGTGTTACCTCCTTCAGTGATGAGTTCTGTTCTTACAGAAAAAGCACAATTAAAGGGGAAGCTAAGTACTTTCTTGGTAATGATGAAGAGATGTCCGAGATCAAATTCCGGTTCTACTGGATGTTCTGCAACACTGGGTGTGTCACGTGACCTCCCTCAGTCTTGGTTTTAAGTAAAATCAGGATGATAGAACCTACCTTCATAGTGTCACAGTAAGTATTAAGATAATGCATGCAAGGGACAGTGGCTCACATGAGTCTCCCAGTTCCCATTCCCCATCCCCAAGGCTTTCCTGTGTGGGGGTCCCCAGCCACCAAATCTCCTTCGCATGTTTCTCTCAGACATTCTGCCGGCTTCCTAAAATAGTCCACCTTGCCAGTGTCTCCCTGTACCCTCTAATTTCACATGTTTGGCAAGGTTTCCCCATGGAGCTTCCTCTTCATCTCCCTGGCTATAAGTAAATTAATTAGCAGGAGTTGGGCTGCAGGCGAATTTGTGGACTTTAATGAGTTTGTCTTTGTGGCTGACCTCTCTGGTGATGTGCAGAGTCCCCAGGGGTCATGAGCTGTACCTTTTACTCAGCCTGTTTGGAACCTATCCCAATACCCCATGCAGATGTTATCCGATCATGAGCACTGCCCCACATAGACAGGGGCAGGCATGACAGTGACAACAATGGATATGATAACATTAATAATTAATGTTCATTAAGGGCACACCACAGGACCCGCAAGTCAGCACATCCCATCTAACTTCAGGCTCAGAATTAAAGATGAAGAATGAAGGGGATTGCTTAAGTGCCTCAGTTTAACCACACCGCAGAGGAGAATTTTCTTTACATGGAAACATTCCAGCTAAATATAAGGATTCTGTTTTAAAGCGTAGTCACAACTGCATTAGAAATGAAAAAGAATGTTAGAATTCTGTTATGGTTTGGATGTTTGTCCCCACCAAATCTCATGTTGAAATGTAATCCCTGGTGTTGGAGGTGGGGCCTGGTGGGAGGTGTTCGGATTGGTGTTTGGTTGAATCTGTATCCGTCCGTTTTTGTGTTTCTATAAAGGAATCCCTGAGACTAGGTAATTTATGAAGAAAAGAGGTTTACTGGGCTGACAGTTCTGTGGGCTGGATGAGTACAGCACCAACATTTGCTCAGCTTCTGGTGAGGCCTCAGGAAGCTTACAACCATAGCAGAAGGCGAAGCAAGGCTAAGCATGAGAGTGGATCTCTCACGAATGGCATGGTGCTACCCTCGTGATAATGAGTGAGTTCTCACTCTGAGTTCGTGTAAGATTGGGTTATTTAAAAGAGCATGGCACTCCTCTCTCCCGCTCTTGCTCCTTCTCTTGCCACGTGACCTGCCTACCCTTCCTTTGCCTTCTGCCATAATTTTAAGCTTCCTGAGGCCTCACCAGAAGCCAAGCAGATATTGGTGCCATATGTGTACACCCCACAGAACTGTTAGCCAAGTAAACATCTTTTCTTTGTAAACTACCTCATCTCAGGTATTCCTTTATAGCAACATAAAAACAGACTGATACAAATTCAAAATCACCATTTCAGGATTCCTAGAGAATTCATGGGTTCAGGCACTGAGATCAATGGCTGATTTTATTACAAAAGGGAGACAGCCAGAGGTGGGCCTCCTGATAGGAAGCCCACAATCCCATCTATAAAGTCATCTTGCCAAATATACAAATAAATCAAAACCGAACCTGACCAAGCTCCCAAATCCAATTTTCAATCTGCAGAACACAGAGTGGTTAGAGGAACGGGTCAAACGACACCACAGGGATGCAATCAACAAAACCTAGACCCTACAGAACCAATGATGCAGTGTCTTCAACAAATCAGTTGCAAGGAAAAGGGAAATGGAGAGGACACAGAGGTTAAGAGCAACTTAAGAGGTACATCAGCCAACATCAACCAACATCAGCCAACATCAGCCAACATCAGCCAACATCAGCCAACATCAGCCAACATCAGCCAACATCAGCCAACATCAGCCAACATCAGCCAACATCAGCCAACATCAGCCAATTAGATTGCACAGGCTTTATTTGAATCCTGATTCAAACTATTAAAAATTTTATAACATGTAAGAGACATTTGGAAATTTGAATACTAATTAGATACTTGATGATATTAAGGAATTAATTGTACATATTTTTAGATACAGCAATAGTGTTGTCATTGCATTTTTAAAGAATCCTTGTCTTTTAGAGATATGTACGAAGCCTGTATAGAAGACAATATGTCGGCCGGGCGCAGTGGCTCAAGCCTGTAATCCCAGCACTTTGGGAGGCCGAGGTGGGTGGATCACGAGGTCGAGAGATCGAGACCATCCTGGTCAACACGGTGAAACCCCGTCTCTACTAAAAATACAAAAAATTAGCTGGGCATGGTGGCGCGTGCCTGTAATCCCAGCTACTCAGGAGGCTGAGACAGGAGAATTGCCTGAACCCAGGAGGCGGAGGTTGCAGTGAGCCGAGATCGTGCCATTGCACTCCAGCCTGGGTAACAAGAGCGAAACTCCGTCTCAAAAAAAAAAAAAAAAAAGAAGACAATATGTCTGGGATTTGTTCAAAATATTTTGGGTGGCAGGGAAGGGGGGAGGGATAGATAAAACAAGACTGTATGGGAGTTAAAGCTGGGTGATGAATACTTGGGTGTTCACTGTAGTGTAGTACCCTTTGTTTTTTTTTTTTGAAACAGAGTCTCACTCTGTTCCCCAGACTGGAGTGCAGTGGTGTGACCACAGCTCACTGCAGCACCAACCTCCTGGGCTCAAGCAAGCTTCCTACTTTAGCCTCCGAGGTAGTTAGGACTACAGGTGTGTACCATCATGCCTGGCTGCTTTTTTTTTTTTTTTCTTTGGAGACGGAGTTTCACTCTTGTTACCCAGGCTGGAGCGCAATGGCGCAATCTCGGCTCACCGCAACCTCCGCCTCCTGGGTTCAGGCAATTCTCCTGCCTCAGCCTCCTGAGTAGCTGGGATTACAGGCACGTGCCACCATGCCCAGCTAATTTTTTGTATCTTTAGTAGAGACAGGGTTTTACCATGTTGACCATGATGGTCTCGATCTCTTGACCTCGTGATCCACCCGCCTCAGCCTCCCAAAGTGCTGGGATTACAGGCTTGAGCCACCGCGCCCGGCCGCCTGGCTACATTTTTAAAAAATTTCTTGTGGAGATGGGGTGCCCAGCCATGTCACCCAGGCTGGTCTTGAACTCCTGGGCTCAAGCAATCCTCCTGCCTCAGCCTTCCAAAGTGTTGGGATTACAGGCATGAGCCACCATGCCCGGCCTACTATAATACTCTTAATCTGCTTCTAATTTTCCAAAATAAAATATTACAACAAATTACCAGATTTACTGCTATATTTTTACTCACAGTCACCATTATCATTATTGTATTTCATCTGATTTGACATCATAAATTGTAAGAGGCACTACTATTTTTGATGTACCTCTGATAACATGCATCCCAGTTTCAGAGATGTTAATGCGGAAACGTGTCTTAGAACCAGTGCCCTATATTATCATCATCACCAACAATATTATTGTTAGCTAAAGCCAGCATCTATCAAGCACTTGTGATGAGCTAAGCTTTGTACTCACACCCTCTTTCATTTCCTAACAACTCTATGAGGTGTCCCCATCTTATGGATAAATAAAAATGAGGCCCAGAGAAGTTGCCCAGAGTCACACAGCCATAAGAGGTCGAGGTGGACTTTGAACCCAGGATGGTCTAACCCAGGTCTGTGTCATTCCTCTGTAAGAGACCACCCCTCAGTGAGGACAGCAGCCCAGAGCCGGACAGCTGCCTGTCCCTGGAGACTGCAACCTCCCCCGGGCCCTCCCGCTGGGAGGGGAGAAGAAGAAGCCATCAGGGCACTCACAGTGTCTGGATGGCCCGCAGGGAGGTGAACGTGCCCTTGGCAAGGCTCTGGATCTTGTTGTCATACAGGGAGAGCAGCGAGAGGTTCTGCAGGTCCAGGAAGGCATCGGGTCGGATGCAGTTGATCTTGTTGGCATTCAGGAGCCTGTGGGCAGAGCCAGGACCAGGTGGTGAGCGGAGAGGCTCAGCATCAGACCCATCCCATGTTCTGGGTGTTCTGTACTATCAACAAAGAACAAAATGCTGCCAACTAAATGATGTGCCGCTGATTACAGCGTGCATCCCAGTTTCAGAGCTGTTGGTGTAGAAAACACATGTGTCTTAGAACCAATGCACTGTATTATCATTATCGTCATCATCACCATCGATCTTCAGCCCCTGCCTCCATTATTACAGGGAGGAGCCCACCGAGGTAGGCCCAGGGAATCTGCCCTCTGGGTGTCCGCTCCACACAGAGGGGCCTGGAACTCCGACTGCCTTCTCCATGCACAGGGTCATCTCGGTCAACCCACTCTTCTCTCTTTCCAAGAATTGCTAGAGATGCCCTGTGGGATTCTGGGAAAGCGGACAGCCACATTGCAAAGGCATTTTGGTGGGTGGGGGGGCTCCTCCTCCTTCTCAGAGTTCCACTGGGCTCCCGAGGCAGCTGAGTTGGAGCATTCGTGTTCAGTGCCTCTTGAGTCCTGGGAGAAAATCCTTGCCCGAAAGTTCATGGTTCAAGGAGGCCGAGCTGGCATGGGTGTCCCCCTGCAGGAGAAAGCTCTGTCCCCAGCCACACCAGGCTCCTCAGGAGCCTCCCTGCTCTGGCATCCTGTGAGCAGCTCTGAAGCTGCCTATGCCTCCCTCTCTGGGCGAGACTCTTTCAGCCCTAGTGGGTCTGCCTGTCTTCCAAGCTCATTGTCTCAAATGAGTGCCATACTGCAAAGAGGCCCAAAAGGACAGTCTACCAGGCCAGAGGAATGCTGGTCCTTCCCTATGTCCCACCCAAGACACCCAGGGTTCGTTCTTACAGGAGCTGTAGGGTGTACAGGCCTCCAAACACACCACGGGGCAGGTCTGTGATCTTGTTTCCATAGAGGACCCTGGAGAAAAGCAGCAGAAAGGTGGGTTAGGGGACAGCCCACCAGAGCAAACGCACAGCTCTGCAGATAGCCCCAGCTCAACGGCGCTGCCCCTAAGCCATTTACATGAAGCACGTCCTAATGGTGTCTATTTGTTACAGCAACTTGGCCACAGACGACAGCAAAGTGTCTTAAGAAGGGGTTACCCGCTTCTAGGCGTAAAGTGCCCTATGCGCTAGAGATGGCCCTGATCCCAGTCACTAAGAAAGCAGCCCCTGCTCCACCACCCTCACACAGGGACCCCACAGAAGGCTGCGAAGGGGCGCTTCCTGGGAAATTAATCTGGTCTGGAATCCAAAAGGAGACTGTTCAGAGAAGAGAAATCCCATGAGCGGGAATAATTAACATCTTTTCAGAGCTTTACAGGAAAAAATAGAATGCCAGACGGCACATGCAGTGAGATCCGGATGGTGGGACTTCAAGCATTTTTTTTTATATTTTAGTATTTTCAAAGTTTTCTGCATTGAGCATGAATTCCATGTATAGATTTTTTTTAAAGCAAAAGTTAAAAACAACACATGTAGACATGGGCGGGTTCAGGGGGACAGTGAAAGTATCCAGGGGGTTTGGGGTGGGGGTGGGTGGATGCCATTCCCAATGTCATAATCGGACCCCACAAGCTATCCTGGTAAACGTTGAAGCTGAGTAAAGAATCCTGGGTACTGCCTCTCCAAACATGGCTCCAAGGTCATTCCCGTGGGGGAACAGCAACAGCAAAGTCCCTGCAGTGGGAGCTGTGTGTGCCTGTCCTGTGTGGACAGGAGACAGGGCCAGTGTGGCTGGAGTGGAGGGAATGAATGGGACGGTAGCTTGGGCTTTACCAAGCCAGCATCAGGAAGCCACTGAGGCACTGTCAGATTCCCGTTTCAGAAACACCCTTCAAGCTGCTGGGTGGGAAATGCAGCAGAGGGGGCAGGAACCAAATCAGGGAGGCAAGGCCAGGGCTGGCCAAGGTGGACACTATTCGTGGGGTGGACTGGAGTCATCCACGTTCCTACACGCAGGGTGGCGGCTGTGACCAGGTACCCGTGAACAACAGAAACCCACTAAGATGGGTTCTTCACCTTTTACCTCTTTATACTGCCATGTCCCACTTAGGAGAGCTTCATTCACTTCTCAGAGGAAGGGCCCTGAGTTTTGACAGGCCACCTTCAGAATCTGATCTCCTCAGCCAATGACAATGACCCCTCACCAGGCTGTCGTGTACAGCTGTGTAGGGTATGCACTGCACAACTTCCGAGGTGCCATTCACAACTGGCTCCACCCGCTACTTGGACTCTGCTCCAAGAAAAGATGGCATGCACAGAAGGCACTGAGCTGGCAGGCTCCCTCACTTCCCGGGGGAGTTCCATTCTGTTGTACTTGCCAGGCCTCTAGTCTCTGCCAAGCACGTGTCCTGTGCTGCCAAGGAGCAGGTGAAAACACTCATCCCCTAGAGTAACAAATGGCCCCTCCTACAGGGAGCTCACCCAACTCCAGGGCACTCTGAGTGTGCTCTCCACACAAAGTGCTGTAGGACCTCGGCGAGTGAGGAACTTGGTGAGCGAGAGAGGGAGGTGCTTCATTACCTTTTGTATGTTCTACTGACAGACTTCCCCAGCAGACCCTGAAGGAAGGGAAACACTGGGAGGCGGAGTGGGAAAATACTGTCCCAGCAGCACCCACTGCATCTTGGGATCCATCACATTTGGGATCAAAGACAGCAAGGTGTGTCAGATGTAGCAACTGGAGCTGGTGCTCGCTGGTGCTCCCTGGTGCTGTGGTAATCACAGAGGCCTCAGGAGCACAGCATGCTGGGCTTCGATGGGGGACAGGGCCAAGATGCTTGTGCACAGAATGCTGGGAAAATCCACACCGTGGTAGGCTGTACATCCCAGTTGCCAGGGGCAACAGCTCTGCCTAGCTTCTCCACACTTCTCCCGCTCCCAGCGTCGGAGCGTCCACCAGTGAGGAAGAGGAAGCTGGAACAGCAAACCCTTTGCAGCCAAAGGATGACCCACTGAGGCTGGGGTGAGCAGGGGCTGTGTGGAGGGGGGCATAGCCCTGCTCCTTCTCCTGCACCCACCAGAGAGGCCCTGGGCCCTGCCAGCCTCCTCAGGGGATGCCCCGGACCACTGAGGAAGCCTTGCCACTGCTACTCACAGCGAGTTTAGGGAGCGGAGGCCCTGGAAGGCGTCGGGTGCGATCTCTGCAATCTGGTTGTTGCTCAGGTCTCTGCAAGGTGAGCAGAAGGAGAGGGGGCATCTGAATTTCTCAATGGCCACTGAGCCCTGCCCAGTCCCCTCCACCTCATAGATGCCATGGGGGCAGGGTGGGGTGCTTTGAAATTAGCATAGTGGGAGGCCAGATCCCTCTGTTTCAAAGCCCACGGCCGCTATTTCCCTGTGTAGTCTGAGGGCTGGGCCTGAGGGGGCACTCCAGCTTGGGAGTTTATGGGTGAAGCTTTCCCATGCATCCTGGCAGTCTCCCAGCCCCCTCCCATCCTTAACTGCTCCTATTGCTACCCAAGCTGAAATGGGAGGATGACAAGTAACTCTGGTCACAGGCCAGGCTCAGGCTCAGCACTCCCTCTGGGCCACACAACAGCCCTGCAAGGAGGCCCCCGTGTTACAAGCCAAGCAGCCTGAAGGGCAGGAAGGCGAGGTGGCTGGCCCAGGGCCGCTCAGCTGCAGGGGCTGAGTCAGGGCCTGGCCCAGGGCTACGGGACTGCCCAGGATCTCTGTCAGCCCTGTGCCAGCTCCCCAAGAAGTAGCTGGAGACACTCACATCCTCCGTAGCTTTCTGTAAGGTGAGAAGGCTCCAGGGGGGATGGACTTGATACCGTTAAGCTCCAGGCGTCTGTGGAGAGAAAACGAATGGGAGGCATAAGGGCCCAGGTTACCCCAGCCCTGGGGGTTACCTGCTGGGATCACCCACCCTGAACAAGCCTTTGGCCCTCCTGCTCCTGCTCCCTTACCCCTTCCAGAAGTTGAAGTCGGGGGTAGGGGCACTGGCACAGGCAGAGAAAATTCTGACTTGAGCTCCATCATCCCAGGCATTTAAGGCCGAAAGGGGCCTACAAATGATGCCGAGAACCCGATTCCAGCAGACCCACGCAGCTGGGTGGGATCACAGAGGGACACCCCCTCCCCAGCCCTGGACACAAAGCTCAGCCCAGCAGAAGCAAACGATGTCTTCTCTATGGTCACTCAGGGGCCCTGAGGTGGCACCTACCCCAGCTCTTCACTGGACCTCTAGAGCCAGGCCTGCCAAGCGGACGGACCTGTGCCCACCCCAGCACCTGCTCTGCCCTGTTCTGTACTCACATCTCCGTCATGGTCTCGGGCAGGTTGGCCGGGATGGCAGTGAGGCCTTTGCCACGACAGTCCACGATGCCATTGCTGCAGGTGCACATGGCCGGGCAGGAGCCGGAGGACAGGGTGCAGGTGGGCACGCGCCCCGCTTCCCCTGGGCCTGCAGAAACAGGGGGTGTGGCCTCAGGCTCTCTCGCATCAGCACGTCCTTTGAGCCCAGATACAGACTGATGGGTGGGACAGGGTGCACAGCAGCAGTTTCTCTGGATAAGGATGAACCAGCGGAGATCACTAATGAAATGATTCCAGACATCGGTATAACTCTGTGGGTGCCTGGCACGCAGCGGGTATTTGTCAGATGTTTGCTGCCCTTGAATCTAAATTGAATTGCAGTGGTGTGTGATTCATCCACTAAGAAATCCTGGCCTACAATTCTGAAGCTGTGGATTCTAGTCCAAGTCACTTAACACTTCTGGGCCTAAGTCCTCTCATCTGTCACGAGGGTGACAATGACAGTTTCCTAAACACTTAAACACTTACTCTGTGCCACATGCTCTAAGTGTAGTACGTGCAGTATCGCATTTAAGCATAAGAGGAGCCTATTACTGTTGCCATTTTACAGCTGAGAAAACAGAGTCCTCGATATTAATTTGTAGAAATTCTCACAGCTCGTAAGTGGTAAAACCAGGATCCAGCCCAGTGTCTTATATAAGAGCCTTTGAAAATATGGAGGTATAACTTACACAAAATGCTCCATCTGAAGGAGGTATAACTTATACAAAGTGCTCTATCTGAAACACGTAGCTCGTGGAACCACAGCCTAAACACAGAACATTTCCGTTACCCAAGAAGATTCCCTCCTGCCCCTTCCCCAAAGTAACCACTATTCTGAGATCTGTCGCCAAAGATTTGCTCTGCTCACTTACGAGCGTCATGTAAATGAAACAGTAGTTTCTCTTATGGCGGCTTTTTTGCTTAATATACAGTCTTTGAGATTCGCCACGCTGCTATGTGTGTCGGTAGTCCATTCTTTTTCATCGCTGGGTGGTATTCCATTACATGGATATATCATAATTAGCTGGTGGACATTCAGGTTGTCTCCAATTTGGACTATGATGGAAAAAGCTGCCTTTAATATTTTTGGACATTTTTGCAGAAAAAAATGCACACACCTAGCAGTGGAGCTGCAGGGTCACAAGGCGGACACAAGCTGAGCTGAGGATCCTGCGAGACAGTTCTGCAGAGTGGTCAAGCCAGTTGATATCCCCACCAGCATTTTAACCTTGAATATCTTCCCTGGCTGCCCCAAAAAGTGGGCACCAGGAGCAAATGAGGCAAAGCCTCATGGATTCCTGGCATATTGTGACAGTAGCCTTCAACAGAAAAGGGTTGCCAGGGTGTTCAGACCCCGAGGAAATACTAATGTCTGAAAATAGAAACCACAGTCTTCCAAATGCAAAGGAAAGGGTTTCATTTCAAAACAAAAATTGTCCCAGTGAATTATCCATTCCTATTCCTAAAAACCATGGTAGCTGCAATGATGCAGAGGCAGTCCTGGCTCACACCTGAGACACACCCGTGTGTATGCACACACGTTCCAGCACACGGGCACATTCATACACACACGCATCTGCACATACACACAAACACACACATGCACACACAGACACACACAGCACTGCTGAATACAGCGGTGTTCAAGCCCAGTCTTGGGTGTCTGCCAGTGCAATGGAGGAGGTGACAGCCACAGCCCAGAGCCCTACACTGAGGCAGGGAGGACGAGCCTAGGAGATGCTTTCCTTCAGAGCACTGTGGCTGGCAGGCCCAGTCCACAGACTGGGGAAAACAGCCTCTAAATCCTCTGACACAAGGCCGGGCATGGTAGCTCATGCCTGTAATCCCAGCACTTTGGGAGGCTGAGGTGGGCAGATCACCTTAGGTTGGGAGTTTGAGACCAGCCTGATCAACATGAAGAAACCCTGTCTCTACTGAAAATACAAAATTAGCCGGGCGTGGTGGCACATGCCTGTTATCCCAGCTACTTGGGAGGCTGAGGCAAGAGAATCACTTGAACCCAGGAGACGGAGGTTGTGGTGAGCCAAGATCGTGCCATTGCACTCCAACCTGGGCAACAAGAGCGAAACTCCATCTCAAATAATAATAATAATAATAATAAACAAATCCTCTGTCACAAATCTGAGAACTGTGCATTCATTCAGCTAGCATTTCCTGCACCAAGCGAAGAAAAAGTACTGAGGATGTGCCACAAATGCAATGCGGGACCTCACGTAGGATCACAGAAGGTTCCCTGGGCTCTGCAGGGCGAGGAGGAGTAGGCAGGTAACAAGGAGGGAAGGGCGTGCCCAACAGGGGAGCAGCCTGTGAGGCCAGGGGATGGGGAAGCCCGTGCCAGGAAGGGGCAGAGGCAGAGGCAGCTGGGGTAGCTGCAGGCAGGGGGAGGCAGGGAGATGGTGCTGGCCCTGGCCAGGCTTGCGGAGCCTGAGAGCAGTTCAGACTCTCGCAGCAGTGCTGACGGCTGGGTGAGTACACGAGCAGTGCCCACCCAGACTTGTGGGTTCTTTTTGGTCTTTTGGCTGTAGTAGGGACATCAAAGGGGCCAGGGAGGACATGGGCCACCAGTCAAGAGGCTATCACAGAGCCCCAGGGGGAAGGTGAAGGGGCATGGGCTTTGAGACCCGCCTCCCCTGGAGCCAAGGTTAGAGGGCCCAATTCAACGACTTGTCAAGGCAGCAGAGGTGAGGCGATAGGAGGAGGGGAGAGGGGGTGATAGCAGGGGCAAGGAGCCCAGAGGACGAGTGGAAGGCGGCACTGAGTACACCAGAAAGAGGACGGGATCGAACAAAGCAGGCGCTGAGTGCACGAGGCAGTGAGGGAACAGGAGGAAAAAGGAGATCAGATGAGAAGTGACACACAGAGACAAAGGCCATGCTGAGAACGGGAGGTGGTGTATGGAGCAGGAGAGGCAGACAGTGGGGGCAGGAGATGGTGGGCGGGGCCAGAAGGTGATGGGCGGGGCCAGAAGGTGATGGGCAGGGCCAGGTATCAATGTTGAAGTTAGGGGCGGGAACAAGAGGCAGGGCAGGAGGCAGCAGTGGCACTGGACAGTTGAGCGCCTAGCAGTGGCGTGTACCCACCTGAGCAGCTGAACTCACTCTTCTGGACCTCTGCCACATTAAGGCCACGCAGGCTGGCCGGGCCTGAGCACTGGGTGAACAGCCCGATGGTTGGCCGCTGCCTCAGCCACTGCGAGAGCCAGGCCAGGTGGCAGTCGCAGAACAGGTGGTTGGAGTGCAGGCGGCTGCAGGAAGACAGGGTGGCTCACAACCCATCTGGGCCCCCAATCCAGTCAGACTGTGGGAACCCCCAACCTCAGGCAGGAGGCTGCCTCCAGTGCTGTGTTCAAGCCAAACACATTTAGTCAAGTAGGTGGCTCAGCTCCAACCCGGGATTATCCAGTCCCATGAGGATGCCGCTGCTGCCCCTCCCCCTCCACATGCTCTGGGCACACCTGGGCCGGAATGTGCCCAGCAAAGCCCAGGTTATCACACTGAGCTCACACAGGCTCATGGCCCCAAACCACCAGGCTCATTTTCAAGCACAAAAACAAATCATTTGTTTTCCAAGGGAAAAACCAAATTAAGTGGCACTGGATGACCTGCAACTGTATCTCAACTCCTTCTACCTCCGATTGCATAGAGCCCCCTCACCCTGGGCCGGCCTCTGGGGGTCTCGGGGAGAATGAACTCCACGACCTGTCTGCAGAACCCTCACCTCCTATCCCACCCACCCCCTGGCATCAGCTGGGCTTGGCTGCCCCACTCCCAGCTGCCCCAGCCGACTCACAAGGTCCGTAGCTTAGGCATGTGGTTGAAGCTGGACACGGGGATGATGGTGATATTGTTATTGTTCAGGGTCCTGATTGGGAAAAATCAGAACCATTTAGCACCTGCCCAGCAGGAGCCGATGTGGGAGAGGGCCACCCTGCTGACAAATGGGGAGACCTTGAAGTGGACCAGCACAGTGCTAGACATGGAGGGGCTAAGCCAAAGAGCACAAGTCAGACCCCACCCCATGGGAAAGCCCTGAGCTCGGACAGTGACTGTGAGCCAATGGCACCATAGACTTCAAGGCTGGTAGGATAGGGAGATGGAGCAGGACAGGTGATGGGATGCATCCCAGACTTGGGTTGGCTTGGAAGAAAGGGTGGGGTTTGGATAGGCAGGGGGAAAGAGGGAGCATTCCAGGCCGGGTGGCAGAAACCCTTGGGTTTCATCCTGAGCAGGTTACACCAGGGCACACAGCTTGCTGCAGGCACAAGCCCATGAGGGCCTGTCCTCCCTCCTCCAACCCATAAGGGTCTGTCCTCCCTCCTCCAACCCATGAGGGTCTGTCCTCCCTCCTCCAACCCATAAGGGTCTGTCCTCCCTCCTCCAACCCATGAGGGCCTGTCCTCCCTCCTCCGACCCATGAGGGCCTGTCCTCCCTCCTCCGACCCATGAAGGCCTGTCCTCCCTCCTCCGACCCATGAAGGCCTGTCCTCCCTCCTCCGACCCATGAGGGTCTGTCCTCCCTCCTCCGACCCATGAAGGTCTGTCCTCCCTCCTCCGACCCATGAAGGCCTGTCCTCCCTCCTCCAACCCATGAGGGCCTGTCCTCCCTCCTCCAACCCATGAGGGTCTGTCCTCCCTCCTCTGACCCATGAAGGCCTGTCCTCCCTCCTCCGACCCATGAGGGTCTGTCCTCCCTCCTCCGACCCATGAAGGTCTGTCCTCCCTCCTCCGACCCATGAAGGCCTGTCCTCCCTCCTCCGACCCATGAGGGCCTGTCCTCCCTCCTCCGACCCATGAGGGCCTGTCCTCCCTCCTCTGACCCATAAGGGCCTGTCCTCCCTCCTCCGACCCATGAGGGCCTGTCCTCCCTCCTCCAACCCATAAGGGTCTGTCCTCCCTCCCTCCGACCCATGAAGGCCTGTCCTCCCTCCTCCGACCCATGAGGGTCTGTCCTCCCTCCTCCGACCCATGAGAGCCTGTCCTCCTTCCCTCTGACCCATGAGGGCCTGTCCTCCCTCCTCCTAGGTGATTCTAGGAGGACTGGCCTCCCCCTTCCTGTCTCCCTGGTGCCCGCTTCCCAGGCTGTGGCACTTGGCACCTTCGTAGCAGAGCCCTCCACACCTCTCCTTCCTTTTCCCTGCTTTACTTACAGCACCTCCAGCCCTCGCAGAGCACGGAAGGCCCCTTCCTCGATGCAGCTGATCTGGTTCTTGTCCAGCTGTCTGTGAAGCAAAGGAAGGTTGTAGAGAGAAGGGCACATTGCCTAGAGTAAGGGTGTCCAAACATTTTGACTACGTGCTCCATTCCTTCGAAGAGGCATGCCCCTAGTTGTTTGTTACGTGTATATGTATCAATCCAAATAGTAAACATTAGTAAAAACTTATGTTTTTTTCTAATCTTCAGTTAAAATCATAAATGTAAGTAAAAGTTATGTTCTCCTATTCAACCTTACGTATCCCCTGGGGAGCAGGCACCCCCCTACACACACACACATTTCGGAGACCACCTAGCTGGTGCTGGCAGGTGAAAAAGGAGAGTGTCACAAGGCAGTGGCAGCCAGAGCTGGCAAACAGATTTCAGCCTGAGTGCCAAAGAGGTTGACTTGAGGTGGCTACCTGGAGTGCTGCTGTCAGAGTAAACTGAAGCTTTGAAGTGAGCTCTATGTGAAAGAATGCAGTGATTGATTACCAATGTCTGCCACAGGCGTGGGATGGCGTGTGTGTGACAAGCATGACAGGCATTTGCCATCCCTGTTGTAGTCAGACCTTGGGGACGTGGTAAGCCTGGATCAGAATAAATTTGAATAATAAGCCATTACGTTTAAATAGCATTTGACGGGGTGTATTTACTTCCATGTCTCATTCAAACCTCAGAACAGGCCTGTGAAGTAGATCTTATTATCCCTATTTTCAAGAGCAATATATCGAGGCTCAGTGATGTTCACTGACTTGCAGCAGCTTATGTGACATGTAACTGGAAGAGAAGATTCAAACGCAGCTCTTCCAACCCAAATACGAGGCAGGCAATGGAGGACAAGGGCACAGAAACTACGCCATCAAAATGGACTGAGAATATCACCCATGCTGATAAGTTGCCTCACTAGGTCCCCAAGAGCCCTCCATTAGCTCTTCACACGTAATCACACCCAAGGGAGAGGCAAGGGCTGCATGTTTCCTCCAACCCCAGATTGTTCCAGAAGACCATGCTGGCACCAGCCCTCTAAGAGCCCAGGTCAGCTCCCTGGCTGCCTGGACCACATGGTTCAGGGACACCCTGAGGATGCTGCCAGGAGTGGCCCTGGAACCCCTGCACCCTTCTCCCTCCCAGGCCTGTACTCACAAATTTTTGAGATCCGTAGCTCCACGAAAAGCTTTCCTGGGGATGGCCTGAATGGCATTCTCACTCAAGTCCCTGGGAGGATAAAGCCAGAGGGAGAGAAAACACAGATCAGAAAAGAGGTTCCTGCAGAGTGCTGTGCCGAGTCAGGGAAGCAGGGCAGCTGGGCTGGAGGGCACTGGACAGACTGCTGCTGTACTCCGGCAACCTAGGACAGCACCCAGCCCACAGCGGCCACTCAGCAAGCATTTGTTGAATCACGAATGATGGAACTGGAGAGGCACACCATGTCCTGGAGGGAGATCAGTCCCCAGCCACCTCCCCTTCTCTGGGCTGGGGGCTTGCAACTGAAGGGAAGAGCCTGGGACAGCTATGACCAGCCCTGCCAGACCCCACCTGATATAGTTTAGATATCTGTCCCCGCCCAAATCTCATGTTGAATTGTAATCCCCGGTGCTGGAGGTGGGGCCTGGTGGAAGGTGATCGGGTCACGGGGGCCGATCCCTACTGGTTTGGTGCTGACTTCTGGATGGCCAGTGAGTTCTGGGAGCTCTGGTTGTTGAAGGGTATGGCGTCTCCCTCTCCACTCTCCCTCCTCTTCACTCTCCCACGTCAAGTACCTGCTCTCTCTCCGACTTCCGCCAGGAGTAAAAGCTCCCTGAGACCCCCCCAGAAGTAGATGCCTATGCTTCCTGCACAACCTGCAGAACTGTGAGCCAAGTCAATCTCTTTTCCTGTAAATTACCCAGTCTCGGCAATTTTTGATAGCAATATGAGAATGGCCTAATGTCCACAGAGGTCAGCCCACCGGACCCAGAGGCTAGCTCAGTCCCTCATGGCATCATGCAGGCCTGCAAAGCAGCACACAACAGAAATGCTTCTGGAGGTGGATTGATGACCCATGTCTGCCAACAGGGTGGGAAGGATGGCGCCCTGGGCTGTCTGGCAAGTGCATCTGGGGCTTATGCTCTGTGTCTTATGTGAGCAAGCTAACTCAAGACAGACAGAATTGGCTCCGGTGACCCAGTCAGCCAGTGGCCCACCCAGGTCTTTAACTCCAGGCAGGGCCTGACTCCAAACCCTGTGCTCTTGGGGACTGCAGGCAGCAGGGCACCTCCAAGAGCCTGGGTCACAGGGAGTCAGGAGCACGCTAGGGGCTGGGATGACTGAGGACTTCATGCCTTCCCACTAATGCCCTGGTGTGAGGGAGGGGGCACTGTTGGGGCTGCAAATCCTCAGCCTCAGGAAGTTCCAGGCCAGCTTTGGGGCCCTTCCTCGCTCCCTGGCAGGTCCTGGCCTCGGACACCAGTCCTCCGGCCTCTCTTGCCTCTCTGCAGCCTCCCTGGTATTCACAGACATGTACCAACACCCCTTTCCAGGTCAGCTTTTCCTACTCACAGCCGCATGCCCCCCACCCCAGGCCAGCACTGCCCTGAGTACTTCCCAGGAGCGTGGCGTGGATATGATCACCATCCTCATTAGACAGAGGAGAAAAGGGAGGACTCAGAGAAGCTAAGCAACTTATTCAAGGTAACCGGGCTGGAGGGTAGGGCCTCCGGAATTTGAATCCAGGCATTCAGGTCCCAGAGCCCCAGCTTGTGCAGCAGCCCTGGGGGCCCACTTTACAGAGGAGGGAACTGAGCTCTGAGTTGTGAAGTAACTGATCTGAGCTGGACCTGGGCCGCCCGCCTCAGAGCCCTGCCCCGGACGCACCAGGGTCCTGAAGGTGAACAACCAGAGGCAGACCGTCCTGAGATGGGCCCCAGCGCGAGGCAGTGCCACAGCCCCACCTCCTCCTCCCAGGCCAGGCCTGTGGGCTTTGATAGTGCCCTTCCTTTCAGCCCCTCACCCCACAGGGTCTGAGAACACAGCCCACAGTCCCCTACCCACTGCACACTGCCCCTTGAACTGTCAAGGCTGCCACCGCTCTGTCTGGGTTTCCCTGTTGAGAAACCCAGCAGTGTGCTGAGCCCTGAATCGCAAAAGTAGGGGGCAGGTGAGCTAGAGGGCACCAGCTGCTGCTTCACCCCAGCACCTAGGACAGCGCCTGGCCCGCTGCAGCCACGCGGCAAGCATTTGTTGAATGGATGGATGGATGGATGGATGGGTGGATGATGAAACTGGAGAGATGCACGCTGTCCTGGAGGGAGCTTGATCTCCAGCCACCTCCTCTTCTCTGGGCTGGGGGCTTGCAGTTGGAGGGAAGAGCCTGGGATTTGAGTCCTGGCCCTCCCCCTCCTGGCTGTACATCTGCAAGACACCTTTTCCCTCCCGAGCCCAGTGTCCTCGTGGACAAAATGGGATAAATAAGAATCTGGAAAAGCAACTGCCCTCCAACCCCCAGAGTGGGCACCAACATCTGTGCGCTCCCCAAGCCCAGCCCCTCCTGTCTCGTCCCCCCACAGCCTTCAGAAAAGCAGCCAGACACCTGTGTCAGAAGGGGCCTTGGCACCATCAGTGCCCCTTGTTCTTGATCTCTCTCTCCTGGAGAGGAGATGGCTCAAGCCTGAAGCACAGACACAGCTGTCCCTCTTCCAGAGCCACCCTGCCCTCCCTGGGGCGTCTCCCCTCCTGCTGGGCAGTTTCCTCTTCCCACACTCGCCCGCCCCCACCTCCCCTCCCTGCTCTGCACTCGGCATCTTTCGTCTTCAATCTTGGTTACTTGTGCCCTATCTCCAGCTCCCCTGTGTAGTCTGTCAGTATTCCTGGAGACGTTCCCCAAATTCTACCAATTTAGGCTACTCCCCAGAGGCCCCCCAGCAGCCCACTCCCTGCTGCCTGTCTACGCAGCGACTCCCCCAGCCCCATATGTCTTGAGAGGCACATTTCAGTCTTTGCCTTGCTAATCCTGGTTCTCATCTCTTCCTTGCCTAGAGAGCTTCTTGGCTGTTACAACCTCGTTTTAGTCTCTCTGATTCATACCAGAAGTTGCTGCCCTGGTGGTGCCTGCCCTAATGGCTTGATGGTTTTCCTGGACTGTGGACTTGTTCTCTCCATCTTCCTAAGTGGGGTGCTGCCACTGGGCAGAGTAGGCTGGCAGAGGAATCACTGGATTTGGAGCAGGGCTGTGCAGTTCACACAGGTAAACAAGAGACTGCCCGCACTGGGGCTCATGGTCATGCGAGTTACCCAGTAACCAGGAGCCCAGGCTGACACGGGAGCCCGACACAAAACCAAGCCCACCTTGATGGAGTGCCTGCAGGTACCAGTGGCCGGGCTAGGCTTGCGGATGCAGAGCTAACCACAGGTGCATGGCCTACCCTAGAGCACTCATGCCCAGAAGAGGCACAGACAGGAAACCAGTGAGGAAACCCTCAATCCTTCACTTCACAAATGTGTGCTGAAAGCTGGTGGTCTGCTGGGGACCCCCAAAGACTAGCTTTCATGGGGTGCACGTGCCAGCTTTCAACAATGGCTGGAGGAGCAGTGCTGCCAACAAGATGGGTGAGTGCGGAGGAGTGAGCGAGCAATTCTGCCAGAGGGAGGGGAGGTAGGTGGTCTGTGATCGGATCTTTCAGAGTTGACGCGTCCCAGACAGGAAAGGAAAATGAGGAGAGGGTTTTTTGTATTATTTTGTTTTGGGGACAGAATTTCACACTGTCACCTGGCTGGAGTGCAATGGCATGATCTCAGCTCACTGCAACCTCTGCCTCCTGGGTTCAAGTGATTCTCCTGCCTCAGCCTCCTGAGTAGCTGGGATTACAGGCGTCTGCCACCATACCTGGCTAATTTTTTGTAGTTTTAGTAGAGACAAGTTTCACTAGTTGGCCAGGCTGGTCTCGAACCCCTGACCTTGTAATCCCTCCACCCCCACCTCCCAAAGTCCTGGGATTACAGGTGTGAGCCACCGTACCTGGCCAAGAGGGTGTTCTAAGCAGTGGGAAGAGCGTGTGTAAAGCCCAGAGACAGGAAGGAACAAGGCAGGCTCGGGGAATCTCATGTGATTTGGTATGACTGGTGTAGGTACCTGGGAGGTTGTGGTGGTTAAAATATGTCTACAAATTCTTCAACATTCCTCCCTTCAAAAGATGGAGCCTCATTCTCCTCCTCTTGAATGTGGGCTGGACTCAGTAACTCACTTCTGAAGAACAGCATGTGATGGAAGCGGTAATGGATGACCTCCGAGACCAGATCGTAAAAGACATTGTACCTCCCTCCTTGTTCCTTCTGGGACTGCTCTCTCCGGGAGAGCCCAGCCCAGGTCACAAGGACACACAAGCAGCTCTCCGGGGAGGCCCACATGGAGAGGAACTGAGGCCTCCCACCAGCAGCCAGCACAGGCTTGCCAGCCCTGTGAGCCAGCCATCACGGAAATACATTCTCCAGCCCCAGCCGAGCCTTCAGATGATACAATCACCCAACATTCTGACTGCCAATCTCATCAAGAACTCCAAGCCAGAACCACCCAGCCACCCCCAGAGACTGTGAAATCACGGATGTTTACTGTTTGTTCTTGAAAGCTGCAGTGTTTTGAGGTCATTGGTTACACAACAACCGATGATTCATCCAGGGATGTTTTGAGGCATGACCCTGAGGGAGGGAGGGGCATCCTTAGACTCAAGTTAATGAGCTGAAATCATGTTAGAGACTTGGTTACATCACTTCTTTTTTAGGGCCCCGGTTTCCTCATCTGTCTAATTCATAAGTTGGACCAGAAGATTTCTAAGCTCTTCACCAGTGCAGACCCACCCACCTGCAAGACACGTTGCCATGGTGTGAATGATTGTTTCCTCCCAAGAAAGGCATAGGTTGAAACCTAATCCCTAATGTCATGGTATTAGGAGGTGAGGACTTTAGGAGATCATAGGTCATGTGAGCTCCATCCTTATAAAAGGATTAGTGCCCTTATGAAAGAGACCCCAGAAAGCTGCCTTGCCCCTTCCTCCACGTGAGGACACAGCTAGAAGGCACCATCTACGAAGCAGGGAGCAGCCTTCACCACACACCAAATCTGCCAGTATCTTGATCTTGGACTTCCCACCTCTTGAACTGTGAGAAACAGATTTCTGCTGTTTATAAGCCACTCAGTCTATGGCACTTTTTATTTTTTTAGAGATAAAGTTTGGCTTTGTCAT